TTAAGCTTGGACCATTTGGGTAAGGTGATGTCACCCTGTAAAGTTTCTACTTTTTTCCCTTTATAATCAATAAGACTCTTGGAGATACTTTGAGACTATATAAATATCTTGTTACTCAAAAAATGCACCCACTAGTTCCAGCATCCATCAGTGATTCTTCTTGCCCTTTCCCTATTTATTTATATCAGAATGAGATCATGAATTCTTATTTTATCCAATAGGTTATAATCCATTAGTTATTTTTGTATTCAAATTATCCCAGATTTGACCTTCAAGCTGGCTTCTGTCCCCTCCACTAACATGTCCTCATCCTTTTTCTTTATTCTTAGTGTTTTATTTTCTTTCTGGGCACAAGATGAGTTAGACTCAGGCTCACCTTGTCCAGCCCCAGAAACCAGCCAGCTCTCCAAGCAATCCTGCTTTATTTAAATGGAAAAGGGTCTTTGAGCACTGGTTCTCTTTAGTTTTGGAAGCCAGTTCTTTCTGAGTTGGCTTTTTATGAGAGAAATTATCCTTTAATTTCTATCCCATAATCCTTTCTCTGCTTCTTTTCAAGCTCTACCTCCACATTTTTTCTTCATCATCCTAATCTCTGTGCTTCTGTACCTATAGAAATTGGGAATGTGTTTCCCCAGGGACAAAAGCTCGTGGTTATGAGCAAGTACAATGAGTTTATCAAGTATACATTAGTACATAGTCATGTCAAAGGTTATTTTCTAGATAAGTAGGAGCAAAATAGAGACTATCAGGATTTTTTGGCTTTTTAAAATTTCCTAAGTAATATTTACTAGTTATTGAAAGCTTGAAGTCAGGTTCTATTCTAGCCTCTTTTGCCAGCATTTTGGAGTATGTTCCATGGAATGAGTTTTATAGACGGCTAACAGGAGTTTCCTGAAAAGTAGGAGGTATGGACTTTCAATTAAACGTGTTTGCAGAAAGGTAGGTAACAAGGATGTAAGCAGGTTTCTTGACTATGGATTTCTCAAAGCTTTTTAACGTGCTCATGTGCGTCATGACTTGCAAGTAGAACGATGGAATGAATATGGCACTTCCCGAACTTACTTGATCATAGAACCATTCCGAGGAGCACTGGCTGGCCCAATGCTCCCCCAACACTTAGTAAATCAACTCTATTTCCTAATAAGTATCTCCAGCATTCACCCCCTCTCTTTCCATCCTAACAACCACTCTCCATTTCTGGCCACCAACTCTCTCATTAGTTGAGACCTTAATTGGTCCACTTGTTTATCAGGGTCCCAGCAGGAAACATATAGCACAAACTGGTAATTTGAGGAAAGGTTAATAAAGAGACAGGGCGGGGTCTGGAAATAATGCAGTACCTGTGGGGCTAGTTACAGAAGGGATTGTTAGCGCTCTGGGCCTTGAGGGACTGCTTACTGCCATTGGGAAGGGTGTTTGTTGGGGGAGAGCTGGCCTTACGTAGAGAAGCAGCCAATTCACAGCAACCTGGAGGAATAAATCCTACCTCATCTGCTTCCAGAACTCCAAGCTCCTTGTGGTGCCTGCCTCTGAACAAACCCAACCAGAGGTGGCAGAGAGACGGAGGGAGTCCATGTGGCCAACTTTCTAAGACACAGAGGAGAGTGAAAGATAGTGGATCTGGAGGGACAAATAAGAGACATCTAGCACAAGCTGCCTTGACTCTTGCCTCCTCGTTCCATGCATCCTCCACATTTCTAAAGCCTAAATCTGATCATTTCTTGCTCTTTTAAAAAGCCAACAATTGCTCCCTATTATTTGGGGAATAAAATCAGTAGTGCTGGCTCATAAGAGCTGACTGCTAGAATCTCTCCCCAACTTTCCACTCAGTGACAAGTAACATCGAGCTTGAAATCAGCTATGGGGGAGTATTTACGCCGTAGAATTGGTGAACGCTATTAATCAGGGCGCTTTTTTTCCCCCCTTTCATAGAGCTGCATCTATTAAGGTAAAAGCATTTTATTTAATACCTTGTTTCATTATAAACTCAAGAAATGTTCTCTTTAAAAAAACAAAACTAGTTCCATTGAAAAAGCTTAGAGGCAATGACCAACTAATAGTGATGAGCACCCATGGCACCCAGACCATTCTCTAAACACCATCCACTAAAAGGAACCAGAGCTCCTTAGAGAAATGGTTGATTCCAGGTCCGGAGTGAGAAAAATAACAGGGTGAGGCTGAAACACATGTCAAAAAGCAAGGAAGCTATCACAGACTGCTGGGGTCATGTCAGAGGACTCAACAGCCACTGTGAAGGTCTTCTACTGGCCAATGAGGGGACAATTTGAGCATTAAAAAAAAAAAAAAATCTGCAGTAGATTGAAAGACATCAAATATATTAAAAATCCAGGAGTCAGTCATATGATTAAAAACCACCACCACCTCACTGGTCACCTTTAGGATGTTCGGGAACTTCATTCTGAAAACTGGTAAATAAAGGAAGCATGCATCATCTTTTCCTGTATGAATATTCTTCCTTTCCTGTAGAAATATTCTCGAAGGTAATCAAACAAATAGTTGATGACAGGAATTTAGAAGAATTCTGATAAATGAAGTAATAATACTGAGAATATCATCATTTTGCAACCTATAATGAAATAAATCTAGGCAGTCATTATTCGTGGCTGCTGAATCCATGTGACATGTGATGAAAAACTGTGTCAAGTGGGCAACACTTGAACCCAATGACCAGTCTTTATTTACAGCATAAAAAGATAAGCCCTTGATGTGAACAATGGGAATTCTGAAATAGTCTTGCTTTTAAAAGGTTGAAGCTGAGTCTGATCCACATGGCTGTAGTAAAAACCTTAGTTAGAATGTAGAATGCAGTTATACAGGATCTACATCAAATAAACTGCAAGATCAAAAAAAAGAGGGAGAATTTCTAGATTAAAGGCTTTAAGAGACCTAGCCACTAAATGCAACGTGTGAACCTTGTTTGCCATCTGACTCAAATGTACAGACTGTTCAGGCAATTGAAAGATGACTGGGGAAATGTAAACACTGACTTCATGTTTGATATTTAAAAGTTACTTTTTAGGTGTGATAATAATCGTTTGGGTATTAAAAGTCTGTATCTGTAAAATGAGATTTCTCACCTGGTGTTATTGATATCTGTGGACTGGATAATTCTTTGCTGTGCCTGGTTAAGGTGTTTAGCAGCATTCCTGACCTCTACTCACTCGATGCCAGTAGCATCCCCTTAGTTAGGACAAAAATATCTCCAAACATTGACAAGTGTCTCCTGGGGGAACAACTGCTCCCTCTATTGAGAAACACTGTGTTGGAGTATTAATGGTTGAAATACTATACCTGGGATCTGTCAAAATAACCCAAGGGGGGTGTGGATAGAGGTAGAGATAAAAGTTGGACCATGTGTTGATAACTGTTGAGACTGGGTGGTGGACTCATGGGAGTTCATTATACTATTCCCTCTGTTTATATGTTAGAAGTTTCATAATAAAAAAGTTTTAAACTTGTGATACCAAAGGAGTATTAAAATATTTCTAGTTTCCCAAAGCATTTTTAGCAGAGTGGATTAAACAAGTTGTCTCTAAGTCAAAAAGTTATGAGTGTAATTCAGTCAAAAATGGGCGACGTTGTTATAACAAAACACTTTCCATTTCCATATGCTTATTATGACAGCAAAACTTCTCAGCTTACATTTATAAAAGTGAAAAGCAGAAGAGAATTGGTTAGGACCCTTATCTCATTTTACCAAGAATAGTATTTATCCATAAGTTTCTTAAACCTTCATCTATCTCATTAAGAAATGCATTTCAAATACCTTACTTTTAGAATTCTGTCAAGACAATATATAACATTGCTTTGACAAAACATGTACTAACAATAACTATGCATATATATCTTTCAGGATTGAGTTACTGGCCATATGGTCACAGGAAATAAAACAAAATTACAGGTAATTGTGACAGGATGATTAAAAATAAGACTTATGCTTAAAATATTACATTAAGATAAAATTCTGAAAGAAGTAGAATAGAAATCTGAGTTTGAAGGAAAAAAAGAGATAAAATTTCCAACTGACAAAGATCTTTGCTCACATACCTTTTAAAATAGATGAGGCATTCCACTGGATTCCTTGAAAAACGAAGCCATTTTTATCTTTCAGTTTGTAATATGTTGGCAATTATAAACTTTACAATTTAAACATTCAAAGAAAAATTTAGATGTCAAAGTGAAAATGGTGGAGGGAGGTGAGGTATTCTCCTCAATTCTCTTCAGGTTTACAGGGGCCTAAAAGTGTGAGCAGCACTGCTGTGGCTGCGCTGCCAGGAGCAGGGGGCTCTAGGGCCCTCATCCGGGGATCCAGCTCACCTTCCTCTATTTTCCCTTTGTCCTTGTTTCCTTATTTAACAGGAGGATACCTTGATAAGCACCTTTCTAAGTCCCTTGATTTCTCTGCAGGGCAATGTAGAGCATAGTTGTTAAAATACAGCTTATTTCAGGTTTCATTAACACACTGCCAGAGAGCATTATCTCCATTTCCAAAGGAGAAAAGTGAGACTCAAGAGGAACATCCACGAGGGCTCACTACGGGAAGCCCAGGTGCGCACGTCACTCTTCCTCAGAGGCGTGTGGGGTCATAGCCAGCCCTCACGCAGACCATCACCTCCCAGTTTTCACTTACGTTTACTTTACAATTATTCAATTCCTCCCCTTATTTTATATCGTCACTTAATATTAAATGTTGCCGCAATTTTAAACTTTCAGCCATTAGCCAATCAGAACTCAGAGATGTTTGTTCTTCCCACCCCCTATTCCTTTTTATGTTGAGGCTACTTTAAACATATTACATTTAAAAAGGCTACTCACATGTTAAAAATCGCTTTGAGATAATTCAGTGATTTGATAGCTGATTTGTGTTTGCTCCTTCAAGATTATAAAGGGTTGTTTTCAATTATTATATCTCACTCTAGTCAACACTCTGTTTAGCAGGAACTGCTAACAATGAAACTGAGAAAAAATAAACACAAACATGAACAAATGACCTTTTATTTCATACAGAGATACAAAGGCAATTGTGTGCGGCAACAATCTGATGGGCAGGCAGTCCGAATTCTTGGGAGGAGGTAAATTCATGATAAATGTCACGATGGCTGGTGGAACAGAAGATCATAGAAGGAGAGAGACAAGGTGGAGAACGCTACAGCTAATAAATAAAAGGACTAAGAACTACACTGTTTCAATGCCACTTGAGTTCACCCGGGCCTTCTCAATGTCATTAAAACTACAATTCAATATATAGTCACCATCAAAACTCTCGAAGTGCGTTTTGTGCTACTTTGCATTAAATGTTGTGTCAAGGGAACTATAATCCTTACAAATAATTGAAACATCATGTTTTATTAAAGGAGTTGTAAACTCAGCTCACTGTCGGTCATGGGTGTGGCCTTTGGAACCTGACAAACATGCGCGATGGGTATCCATCCTCCTTCAAGGTAAAAGCATTGGTCCCAGTTTCTGAGGCGATGCTACTTGCAATAGCATCTTCTTTTAATATAAGAAAAATATTTACTAAAAAATTATCTTCCAAAATACAACAAAAAACGAGGTCAGGGTAGCGGAGACTCCTTCCGTCAGTGGCATGCCCCACCTCACCTGCCAGGGGTCTGCCTGCAGTGGGTACATTTGCACCCATGGACCTGACTGAGTAAACAGTGCATCATGAAAAACACGTCTCCAGCACTTACATTTGTAATAGGGACACATCACATAATTTGTTATTGACAAAACAGTTTATTGTATTTAAATATACATAGATCAATTTATAGATGTTAGTTTATTTTGTTAAGTTTTATGTTTTGTGATAAAAGAATACTGAACCAAAATATCAGAGAAAATTGAGGCTCAGTAGCATGATTTCACTGTTCTCCTGGATAAACAGATTTTTTTAAAAAGTATGACTTTTTATCTAAGAACAAAAACTTCCTAGAAATTCAATGTTTAGAACTGAATTTTTTGACTAAACCCAGAAAACTGGAGCTCATAAGATAAAAGCAGTGTGGGCAGGAGGAGAGAGAAAAAAATGGGGAAACAGACTTGATATCATGTGTAACGTTGGTTGGCTGGTTCTGTTTATTTTTGTTTCCATCTACTTAAGGCAGGATTATCTCTGCGACTCTGCAGACAAATCCTAGTGTTTTAGCTATAAGAAAGTTTTAAGAGTTCAGATATACAGATAAGCCCATTTTAAAAAACCTTTTCTTACCATATTCTAATGGCTTTGAAGCATTATATAAATCTTTAAAATTCCTATCACCCACATTTTAAGAAATAAATCTACACTTTAATAAGGCACTCTTAAGATATAAAACAGCTTTGAAAAAAATTATATCCTAAGCTAAGCTAACCCATTCCTCTATCACAGCGACAAAGTGGGCCATCTTCCTGAACCAGTCAATCTCTGCACTGAAGCAGACAAGCAGACACCTCAAAGAGGAGGGACACCACAGACCATTATAAATCCACCTAAATGGCCGAATTTTATCAATGGGACTCTACCATTCAATGACAAGAGTTACTCTAACAGAAGTGTCCAAATTTGATGGTAAAGTTTAAAAATGATATCATCCCCTTTTCTAGAAATGCTTCCTCTGAACACAGTACAGTGGCTTCTATTAGCTCCTGCCTATAAAGGGAAACAAAACAGAAGAGGAGCGATGATACCCCACATCCTTCCGTTTTACTGTGAAGGAACTTCACTTTTAAATGACAGCCGAAGAACTACGGGTAATCTGACATTTTGATTGTGTCTTATATCAATGTATGTCATTGGTGCTAACAGCTTCCACTTCTAAATAACAAGAATTCAAATCCCACCATCCCTAATGCAGATTAAAACAAACACCAAAGCTTACAATATAGTAATGCAACCTCTAAGACCATTATAAACAACACAGATAGGTTTTGGTCAAGTTCCCACTCCTTCCTAAGTGACAGAAGAAAATGAAGGAATAAGAAGGGTCAGACTAAGCCTGAAATACAATCTCGCTATGAAAAGGGGGCTACAAATGTCCAGTCAGAGAGGGAAGAGTTAAAGATGTGGCATTGGGAGTGTATCGAGCACCGTGTGGGTTGGGTCTCTGCTTCCAGTGGGTAAAAAAGGGCCCTAGGAAGGTAACCGTGAAGCACTTCTTTCCTTCATCCTTCTGTGCTGGCAGCAAATGATCAGTTACTTCCCGTAGAACTTTTTGTTGAGAAGGAAGATCAGAAGGTTGACATTTACTTTAGCTCTATCAAATAATTTCATGACTGCAACTCCTTCATACTGTAGCTGCAGCAGGTCCTGTTCAGAAAAACATTGTGAGAGTTAATCAAGTCTGTGGAACAAGAATCGAAAGGACACAATGCAGGGAGAGACAGAGAAGGAATGAAGCCTGCCTTGTGCGCCAGGTATGAAATAGGCGGAGAAAAGGGTTCCTGGCTACGGACCTGCCCACAGCACAGCCACCAGGAGAGCTCGAGCAGAGGCACATGCTGGTCACTGAATTTGGAGCTAAGAAGTCATGTGGCTCATATCAAAATATACAAAACAGAGAGAAAAAGCAGCATGCTCACTTATCAGACACAGCTACGCTCTTTAGTTCAGAAGTTACAATTATATGTCTCCAGTCTGTCCAAGTGATAGAGGTCAACCTGAAGAAGGTGAAGGCACTTCATTCGATCCCTGATGAAATACACTAATCACTGAAAACAAGATAAGGATGGTAATTTTGCCTCAACGATGTCTACTGGAGTCTTAATTTCTACTTCACATAAGAAAGCTTTTATGTTCTGAAGGCAAGGGACAAGAGAGAACTAAATGTTTATTAGCTGTCTACCATGTACTCGACATTGTGTAAGCACATTATACAGTGTCTTTTTTAAGTCTGACAAAAATCCTATGAGGCGTGATTATTATCCAGTTTAAAGATGAGACTCGGAGATGGTAAATGAAGTGCTGAATCTGGATCGGACTGCAAAGTCCTTGCTCTTCCCCCTACTCTAACACTCCAGGACGAATTGAGGAAAAATCTGAGCTGCCTCACCCCTTAACTCCAGTGGTGATGAGAAAGCAAGAGTCTTAAGAGCTTAAAAGGACCCCAAAAGTTCAAGCAATTTATCTTTTGGAAAAATCCTAGCAACTCCACGAGGACTAGGATCCTGGTGCATCACCTGTGCCTAACTTAATACCTTGCACCTGGCAGTCATTCCATATTTCATGAATTTGTGCAGGAACGAACACATTACCTGAGGCAGACTGGCCGACCTATATGCACTTGGTGAAACTGAGGGAATAAGAGGATCTTTTTATGTTAGTACTTGAGTTAGCTATGTGCATCACGAAATCATTTCACATCTGTTCAGCCAACATGTTTTGAAGGTCTATGAGTCATTGAGAAGAAAACAAAGCAACACTACCTGTTTGTAAAGAGTCTAGGGGATGAGAGGAAAATAAGTGGGCACTACAGTAAGAGAGTCTACTTCTACAGGCTGCGGAGCAAAGAGAAAACCAGCTGTGCTCAGAGGAGGCTTTCGTTCAGGAGTGGTTCCGCACATGAAAGGACTCAGTAACGATGGAGGAATAAGGGTGGGAGAGCGACCTGTACAAAAACCCAAATGCATGTTCAGAGGAAGGTGCCTGCCCAGTGTGACAAATACAGCATGTGGAGCAGCGCAAGGGATGAGATGGGAACCAACTCTGAAGCTCTACATACGCAAAGCTAAAGATGTCTGCATAGTACCTAGGAATCCTCCCAATGCCCTGGCATTTTTTAACGTATAAAGATTAGCGATAATGCAGAATAAAACTTAGAGATAATCACATGATAAAATGATTCACTGTAGCGTTCTTTTTGAATTTAAAATGGGATTCCGTTTACAAAGATGCAATTTATGCACACCTTGTCAGAAAGATGCTTTAAGCACCTATCGATCAAAATGAGAAAGAAAATGTCAAGCTACGGAGCAGGCTTACAATTTTGTACAGTCAAGATTTGTACTTAACATTTTATTCGACTCCAAGGTATCAGCTTAACTTAGCGGCAATGCTAAGCGGGGGCTTCGGATAACCTCTTTCTGAAGATTTCCACTTCTGCAGAAGCTCTCAGCAGGACCAGAGCAAATCAAACACAGAATCGGACACAGCTCCTTCCTCTCAGCCTGGCTCACCGCTGAGCGTACACAGCTTCCCCCAAATGGCTTTCCTTTCTATCTACCTGTCGATCTGGACAAGAACACGACTACCTCAGACACAGAGCTCTCGGTGACACCTGGTGCACACCCACCTGATAATGTAGCATAAACGTCTCCATCTGAACTCCCATGAATTTGGCTTTCACTTCAAAGTCTCCAACTTCTTCTGTTGGACTGATTTCAAAGATAACATTTTTAAACCTGTTGAAACATAACATCACAAGGGTGTGAAATTTTATGTTCTCATATAGAAATGCCCTGTGAAATACAGAAAGGAGATAAACGATGTCTTCAAAAGTGACAAGGGGTACAAAAATAAAGGTCACAAAGGACTTCTGCAGTATCAGCGTGGGACCTCTACTATAAGTGCCATCTGCTTTGGGTTAGGAGAGAAGAATGGCAATCTCCCCCCTGCAACACCTGCATTCTACTGAAAGAAGAACCACTGAGGAATGCCACCAGTGGCCTCTGAGGGGATGTCATCAGGAATTCTCTTGGCTTTCCATGTGGCCACTGCTGAAACCTGGATAAAAGGAGAATCAAGAGCAAATTGGGCTGGAAAAAGAGGAAAGGGTATGTGTTTGAATGCATTCATGCTTGAAGATTGGAAAAAGTGAGTAAATAATAAAAAGGGGTCGGAACAAAAAGAATCCAAGAGAGGAAGTTTTTTTCTGGAAAGAGCAGGTGCTATAGCTATAAACACACTGAGGACCACCAAGGACAGATTGCTATTACTGACCATATTTAAAGCATCACTTATTCTCAACATTTTACATGCCCATAAATTTTATGACACCAGAAGAAGGTGGGAATCTGCAGTTCTCCGAGTGATCAAATGTGTTGCCCCACATTTCCAGAACTCAACTAGGGAGCAAACTTATCTATTATGAACAGAGCTGAGAACCATGACAGATGCAAGAGGCCACTGAGAAACTAAAAGAAAAGCCACAAAACCCATGCACTAAAATACATGCATTTTATTCAACAGGAGATCCTCATAGGTTATTCCTGAAAGATATCTATTTTATGTGATAAATAATTTTATTTTAACTGATTTAGTTTGTTATCTGCTTTCTAAGCCCATAGTAGCAAATTAAAAAGAAGAGAGGCAAATAACGGTAGGCACTTCAAAATGATGACAAAATAAGGGAAGAGATAATAATTATGAAATAGATTTGAAAAATGCATAAAGTGCTCAACAAAAAAACCTCCAAAAGACCGAGATTCCAAATTGAAAAAAAATGAAAATACAGATAATAAACCATGTTTTAAGTGCACACACACAACCCAACCAGAATTCAAAGAAATCCAAATTTTAAAATTAAAAACTTTTTTAATTACTGAAATCAAAACCACCAAAAATTATTATTCAATGACAAAAAAGTAATGAGATAAGTAAGCACTTTCATACACATTTCAGATACTACTAGAAAATACTTTGACAGTATATATGAGTTAAAAATGTCTTTCAACTGCTATAGAATTAAAAATAGAACTATCCTATGATCTAGTAACCCTATTTCTAGGTATACTGTATACCCAAAAGAATTGAAAGCAGGATCATGACAATATATTTACACTTCCATGTTCACTGTAGCATTATTCATAATAGGAAAAATAGGTGGAAGCAACCTGAATGCTCATCAATGGATGAATGGATGAACAAAATGTGGTTTATACATACATTGGAATATATTCAGGTTTAAAAAGTTAGGAAATCTGTCACATGTTACAACATGGATGACCCATGAGGACATCATGCTAAGTGAAATAAGCCAGTCGCAACAAGACAGATACATATGATTCCACTCATCTGAGGCACTTAGAATAGTCAAATTCATAGAGACAGGAAATAGAAGAGTGGCTGCCAGGGGCTGGGGAATAGGAATGAGTTGTTGTTTAATGGGTACAAAATTTCAGTTTTGTAAGATGTCTTGGTTTATAAATGGAACAAATAGAAAGAAAGGCTTCCCTGCTTTAAAAAGAAAAAATTAAGGTGGCGCGTACACAGCAGGTGTGAACATGTCCCAAGACAAATGTTCCACAAACAGAGAAAAGAAATACTTCCCCCTTCAATAATGGACAAATTAACTCTGATTGTTAGGCCTAATTCTGTGTATATATAATATGTATTATATATACATATGTGTGTGTGTGTGTGTATACATATATACATACAACTCTGATTGTTAGGCCTAATTTTGTGTATATATAATATGTATTATATATACATATATATGTGTGTGTGTGTATACATATATACATATATATATGTATAATATAACAACGACCATCCAGTTAAGAGAAAGAAAGGGAGTAAGATAAAGATGTGATAAATGCAGAAATTAAAAAATCAATGTATAAAAACAAAGTAAAAAAGTAAATACTCACTGATTCGCTTGTAGGTCCTCAATTTCCAGAAGGACTCCTTTTTCATGTAGTCTTGCTGCTGTATATTTAAGAGAAATCTTTTTGCTCTTCTTTCCTTTCATTTCCCTAGGCTTCTTGGAGACCCTGTAAAATGTCATCATGTTACTTTCTATAAATAACTATCTATTTCAAATCTGTTGGCAATTCAAGGATATGAGGTCAGAAAACAAACTTCCCGTACACAAGCATAAGTAACATATCAATTCTCAAATGGCAAATAAATGTTAAGATTGGCCTAGGTAATATCATTGCAAAACAGAGGAAACATTACTAAATTGTTTTAGCCTTCAATTTAAATTATATTTGAGAACCTACCATCAATGTGACAGTGTCTTAATCCTTCTATGTCCCTCTCAGAACCTAACCGCCTATGAGTAAGTGTGAGGGATCCTAATGCAAGCTGGGGGAACTGAATTCCAGGGGTGCCACCCTAAGCCCCTCGGCTATGCGGGGCAGAGGGACAGAAACACCTCAGATAAGTCATTTTTAAAAGAGTTTAAGCCGGCATAGCAATTACAGAGGAATGAGGGCGAGGAAAAAGAAACAGATAGTAAGAGTTATTGGGGATATTCGAATCAAGAAGTGATAAGTAAGCAAAAGAAAAATAGAGATAAATGAGAATCAGGAATTTGGGACTCCCAAGGGAAGGGTCTGGAGAAATGGGCGGAAATACCGGTAGGAGTACAAAAGGGAATAATCTCTATGAAGGCAACTAAAGTATCTATCAAAATTACAACTGTACAAAACTGTTGGCCCAGCAATTCCACTTTTAGAAATTTATCTTAAAAAATATGTGCACCTTTGCAAAATGACATATGTACAAGAGGTTATTTATTGCAGAGTTTTTCATAATAAACAACTGGAAACAATATAAATGCCTAACAGCGGAGAACTGATTAAATCGATTGATATTTCTGTCTACCCAAAGGAATAGTATGCAGCCGTTAAAAAAGGGAGACATTAGATCTGCCTGCTTAGAAGCAGTGATGACTCTGTGACAATGAGCACACCTAGTGCCTGCATCCTGGTTTCTAAATACTATTCTTCACTAAAAGGAACCAAGACTGTTTGGAGAAATAGCTAATTCCAGTCCCGGAGAGGGAAAAGCGCAAGTTGAAACCATAAATATCTTGTGCCTTAAAGTCAGGAAGTGCTCAAAAAATGATGGGGACATATCAAAAGGGCACAAGAGTCAGCTCTGCAAATTGGATCTAATTCTTAGCCCTTCCCTTCAGCCCTGCCTCAGTCCAGGAAGTCTTCTGGGGAGGGAGGGAGGTAGGAAGAGCATGCATGTGCGAGAGCAAGCAGGTAGAAGAGTAAGTGAGCCGGAGAGGTGAAGCTGATATGACAAAATATGAAAAATGGGTGAATCTAGGTGAAGGGTTATGTGGGTGTTTATTGTTCTATTCATTCAAACTTTCTGAAGTTTGAAAATTCTTCAAATGAAGTTATGAGCAAAAACAAACTAACCCACAGGCTGCTGCAGCCTGCACTGATTGCCTCACTCTCTGGGTTTTCGGTTCCCCTCCCTATAAAATGGGCAGGTTGATGGTTTTTGGCCCGCACCAGGAAGGATGCATCAGACCTTCCTAAGCAGCTAGGAAAAAGTCAGGGGCTGAGACCCTGTCAGCAGGAGGTATAGAGAGATGCTTGGGAACCGAAATGTTTATAATATTCCTTTAGTGATTTTGAGGCACAGCCAGGTTTTGGGGACCACTAGATAATCTCCTTCCATGATTAATTTCCCAGGCCAGAAAGATATTTTGGAACAAGGGATGCTTAGAAATAAGCACTTGTGAGATCCATCACATAGTATTTATTTACATCATACAATGACAAATGGAATTAGGAAATGATGCAAACTATTAGAAGCAAAATAAAGAACAAAATCAATAAAAAGATCCAGTGTGCTTTAAGTAAAAGTTTCCAATGTTACTTCAGTTCCCTCTACTTCTTTTCCCCTAACATGGATTCTTTTAAAAAATTAAATAAATACTCACTTGCCCTTGCTGGCTAAGTTATCCAAGCAGGTTTTGATATAGCTTTTATAGTAATCCACCTGCTCTCCGTAAAAGGTGGCCTTAGAGTTCAGAGCAGCGTATGTTTGCTGCAGTTTCACCAGCTCAGCCTTTCTCCTCTGGCGGTATCTCCGCTGATTCCGAATATCCTGAGACACAATTATTCAAATGAGGAAAATAATGATATCATGTGCTTCTTGAATCATTAACACCAGAACCCAGTAGTGCTTAACTCTGCCTTGCATGACCACACATTCTTAATAGGCAGCAATTCATATTCAATACTTAACAAAGAAATTCAGATCTCATCTATTTTTTGTACCCAATTATATTTTCTAGAGGAAGGGAAACGTGTTACTTTTACAAACTTTCAGTTCTTAGAATCTATTTGTAAAACTTGCTTAAATCTTTTAAATATGTTGTCAGGAGAGGGAGAAAAAGATAAGGATTTGATGATCAATTCAACGTGAATTTATATTTCACAGAAATCATTAAAATCTGGATGAATTCCAAAGAGGCCAAGGACAAATTGAGACATGGGAAGTTCTCATTAGATTCCCAGTCTTCTCCTCATTAATTTAGGCTATGGAATAAGTTATCAAAAGGCAGGCAATGTCCTCATGTGGGAAGAGTCAGAAATGGTTCTTCAGAAGAAAGGACACTGATCTGCCCGTGAACTGAATGGGTGTCACCATCTGAACAGCTACTGTCTCCTTACAAGCCTCTGTAACAACTTTTTATTTATGTATTTATTTTGAGAGAGCTTTAAACACGGCCAGGCCATCACTGTCCCTCAAATGCAATACCCTGGCAATGTCGTTGATTAGTTCCTGGTATTTGTTCTTTGGGTTCACGGTCCCAAGCTCCGTTAGCTTCTTCAGGCCTGACTGGATCTTTTCCTTCTTCTCCTGCAGAGTGAGGTTGCTGTCTTCCTTTACAAATTTTGACTTTTTCATCTTGTCAGGAGTTTTGGCGTCACGGATAGCACGTCTCTGCATGGCCCTCTGATGTTCTGCTTCCTACAGGTAAGAAAAAATAGTTCCTGGTAAGTTCACTACACTAATACAAATCTGAATTTATGCAGATCACATGCGCACCCAAACTTACACGGCTCTCCAACTCTGTTCTGGAAACAGAGGGAACAAACTCACTCCTTGACAACTGAGAGAGAAACTGCATGAAGCAGAGGCCGGTCTTTTTTCATCTATGAAATTGTCTGGCTTCTGGGGGCTTCTCTCTTGGACTCTCAGGTATGGTTAGGAGATTGGGCTCTAACGGCTAAAAAAAAAAAAAAACCCTTGTTTTTTTCCCTATCATATCTTAGGACATAGAAGCCACTTAATTTTTTCTGAAACGCAGCTCGATGAATGTTGTAACCACACCAATGCAACACCAGTACTCAGTAAATTCTTGCCAATTCTTTTGCCCCCATGTCCAGGCTGAATCATGTTCAGGCCTTCCCTCTGCTTCCAAACATGCTGCGAATGTCAATATCTTAAAAAGAGAAAGATCTTCCCTTGATTCTTCTAACTTTCCTAGTCAGCATCCAACGTTTGCCTGGTACGTCCCTGCCTGATATGCAGTCCTCACTTGCTATTGCATTTATCTGGCACTTTCTTCTTTCTTTAACTCCTTGCAAATTGCTTCTGCATGGACTGTTCTCATTACCAATTACCATACAGCCCATGCCGAATCCAGTGCCTTTTCTTAGTAGTCACCTTGCTCATCTTCCCTGCATTTTCTTCTTGCCCTGAGAATGGGTTTGGTAGCTCCAAGTAGCCCAGGGTCATTTCGCTTTCAATACTTCAATGATCAGCTCTGTGCTGATGGATCCTAAATCTGTCACAAAGGCTCCAGTGTCATATTTTGAGCTGTTTGTATCGGGATGTTCACATTTGGAATGACTGTAATTCCTCCCAAACTAGAGCAATTCCCTTTCCCAAACTACCTTTCTTCCCTAATGTCAAGTCTACTCTGTATCATATAATGCAAAGAGCATAAACTTTGGTGTCAGACAGAACGGAATCCAAGTCTGGTTCTGCCATTATAAGCAGATGATCTTGGGCAGGTTATTTCACCTCTAAGGGTCATAGTTACATCACCTGTAAAATGAGGATGAAAAGGGACAGTGCAAGGAGTAAATGAAAGAACAGAGGTGAAGCAGAAAACTCGCGGGAGGGTCTCAGGGACGGTGGGTTCCTCCTCCCTTACTTCTAACTTCCTTCTGGGTTAAATGAGTTGCTGTTATCAGTTATGCCTCTCTGCCTCTCTTCTGGCCTCTCATGCACATTTCTTTGGTAATTAATCATAGCTTCTAAAATCTGAAAATTCATTTAAAAGAGTGCTTTGCACACAGTCCACTGTGTAGCCTGAAGGGTTCCCAAATGGACCGCAGAGTCCTAGAGGCCTGGGTTTCCAGGGCCTCACTGCTGGCGCTACCGGAGCAGCTCTTTATCTGCTTTATGTGTTAGTCTTCCAAGTTAACTGTCATATAATGAAAAGGATTCCTATGCTCCAAATCTGAAAATGAATGACTTCGCCTACTTTTCTTATTTTATGAAGGTGAAACATGAGTCTTAAACATGAAGAGATCCATCTATCCCTTCCCACTGCCATGCCACCCCCCAACCAACCAGGCCTGCCACTTTATCACATACCTAGATGACTCAACTACCATCTACTCTGACAGCACTGCTAATTCAATCAGTGTTAAATGGTCCCCAAGGTCACAACAGCTCTCTAGTTGTTATTTCTCCAGTGCCGAATTCCTGTCCAGGTTTTGCGTTCTACATAGTTTGTTCTCATGCTCTACGTCCCACTACTCACCTTCACCCACGTCTTCATTCTAGAGATGCAGGCCTGGTCACATCACGTGGACTCCCCTGACTGGCCTGCCCCTCGTCTCACATACTATCCATTCTAAGTGTGGCTCGAGTCCCACTTCTTCCTCATGCTTTGCTGCTCACTAGCCTCTTCCTGAACTCTAAGCATTTTTATAGCAAATACTACAGTTAATTTTTAATGGTTTCCTATTTCCAGTATAACTCTACCACATTTCCCCAACTAGAGTTCTTTGAGGTTATGAGCCACATTTTATACTTTTCTTCTATCTAGCAAGACACTTGACAAAATTCTAACCATGTAATATTCAATAAATTACTAGGCAGACATACTGATTCTGCTTCAGATTAAATTAAAACACACACGCGCATGCACACACACACACACACACTCCATGGAAGTGCCAGCAAGCTTTGTGCCCTAGAACATCTGCCTCTAGATTTAGGAACCAACAACTTTCTCAACAAGCCCTAAAGCACCACACCCTCCAGTCCACCCCCGGGTTTTACCATCCTGTCACCTATGTCCCACCTCCTCGATCCTGGCATGCATCCGTTACAGAAGCACATAGGTACCTTAGTATGATATATGTTGAACCCCTAAATTTTACCTGTTCACTGGTGGCTGGTGTTTCTAGGATTTCAGTCAAGGTCTCTCCCGGCTGGAACCGGATGACATCCACAATTAAACGTTTTGTGCTGAAAGAAAATGGAAGAAGCACTTATATGACCAGGTGTTCTACTTCCTCTCAAATGGACCTATTGAACGATGGCACAAGCATCACCTCCCAGAGGTCTCACTGGGCGGTTGCTAACACCAGCCGCTCATGGTCCCAGACCTAGTTATGCAACCATAACTGAGTGGGTACCAAGGTTAGGATTTTTGAGATGTAAATTTCACTTTAGCATCTTATTAGCAAATAAGGGAGATAAGTCCTGTGCCAGCTATAATATATTAGGTGACTGGAATTATGACAGACTTATAAGGCAAGATGATCATTTCAATATGAACAAGCAGACTTGTTCACCGAGGCCAAGGGATCACTGGATTACATTTACTTCATTCTTCACACTTTCAATACTCACTTAAGTAAGATGGTCCGAGCATCCATTTCTGCATTCTCATCCCCAGGCACATCAAACTTGTTGGTCAGTGTGAGAGACACTTCTGTCTTAGCCAGCGCCTCCTTATTTGGGTCATTTAAATTGCCAGCGCTTTCTCCTGAAGTTTTGGGAGGATAGAAAGAATCAGTACAATAAAGAAAAGAGATATTAACACAAGTAAAAGATAATGCAAGTCTAAGGAGATACTTGAAAAATAAGCCAAGATGTACACCGTGGCCAGGACACCTCTTACTGAGAAATAAAAGAAAATATATGCCAAGTGATAAAGGCTAAGGATCCATAATAAAATAAATGTTCAACAAATCATTTCAACACTAATATTGCCATTCTTTCTCAAAATATTCTGTTCATTTCCTTTACAGGACTTATAAATTCAAATTATATGATTATGTGTATATAGACATTTAAAATGCTCTCTTCCACTGGACTTCAGCTCCTCAGCCAGGGATCACATCGGTTTTCTTCCTCAAGGTATATTCAGAACTTGAACGGTGCAGAAACAAAGGAAGTGACAATTACAACACTCCTCTGTCATACCCGCCTCTCAGCACTGGGCATTTAAGTCAGGACATTACCTATCAGGGACTCAATGGTGGGCACCTCGCCAAGGTCGTCCAGCAGCTCGTGGATTGGATCATTGTGCTCCGGAGCAATGGCGTCCTGGTGATCTAACAGGAGCTGCGGGTGAACACCCGGGGATCAATTCCACTCATACACTCAGCCCGTTAGCCCAATCCCCGCCCACGAAGCCAAGTAGCACAAAAGGCGTTAGATAACAAAGCCACATTCAAAGCTCTAACAAGCCAATTCTCAGCAAACCCACCCAATAAACAATATCTAAAGCATCACACTTGGCCTCTGTTGAATGACTTATTATGATGCATTAAGAGAAAACACAGGTACTCGCTCAACCCCATGGATATAAGAGCACACCCTACATGACAAAGAACACTGAAGCTCAGCGACTTCAGTACCCAAAGCCATCGATGTGCCCTCTGACCAATTCAAATAACTCGCTGCCATAGTTTTACTTACTCAATATTCCCAGTCCACAGTACCTTTCTATTTAGATAGAGAAAAGTACACCCGATCAATGCTGTCATTTTCTCAAGGGCACTCCAGCAAAGCTTGAAGATGCCGTTATCCAAGAAATGACAATGCCTGAAATTTCATTTACATTTTATACGATTCCTCATTTCCTGTTCTCTATGCCCCCAAAAAGGAAAGGAAAAGCAGCATCCAAGGGAAAATCACTCACTCTAAGGCAACACAGAAGAAAAAGTCAGTATTCTATTCATGTTAGAAAAAGACCAACTTCATACCCAAAGCCATCGATGTGCCCTCTGACCAATTCAAATAACTCGCTGCCATAGTTTTACTTACTCAATATTCCCAGTCCACAGTACCTTTCTATTTAGATAGAGAAAAGTACACCCGATCAATGCTGTCATTTTCTCAAGGGCACTCCAGCAAAGCTTGAAGATGCCGTTATCCAAGAAATGACAATGCCTGAAATTTCATTTACATTTTATACGATTCCTCATTTCCTGTTCTCTATGCCCCAAAAAGGAAAGGAAAAGAAGCATCCAAGGGAAAATCACTCACTCTAAGGCAACACAGAAGAAAAAGTCAGTATTCTATTCATGTTAGAAAAAGGACACAGAGTAAAAAGTAAAATCCAGGGTAAAAAGGAGGAATAATAAAAACAGTATTTTATCAAGTCCCTAGATCAGTGCTTGCAATGGAGGTTCCATGGCCCACCGTGGAGATTCTGGTTCGGTGGGCCTCTGGGTCTCTTTGAGAAACCTAACAGTAGATATTGTTAGGAATAATAAACAACAAGGCAGATGTGATGTCAGTAAGATCAAAGGAAGATGAGCTATCTGGCTTCTGGGAATGGTAAAGCAGCAGCAAAACAGACAATTAAGGACAGAGCAATGAAATTCAGTAATTAAAGAAAAACACATACCGTGTGAGTGTTGATGATTTCACCAATGGAAATGTAGATCACTGGTTTGGTGAGGGTCACTAGGTCAGAGTACTCATCCACATTGAATTTATCCTGAAGCTCTGGGACATCACAAGCAGTTTGGAAAAACCGTCTGAAAACAATCACAAGAGCCAGACCCCAACAAGTGACATACGTGTGAGAAGTTAGGGAGAGGACATCCCACAAATCTCTGAGGCAACACGTTCAAATAGAAGCCAGTCCAGACAGTTAATTCTAGAGCAAGTGCTGCGTGTTTGCTGTGTTTGACAGCCTTGGCTCATTAGTTCTAGTAACTTCTCTCTCCATCTCGTTTGAGCTCTACCCATGAGAACCACTCAACCAAACACCTGTGTCATTAGGAGAACCAACTCGATCTCTAAGACAATGCCCCGAACTCACAACTATATATTTAAATGACAAAAATTAAAAGCACTCTCCAATTCTTCTCTGGTTATAAAGTAACAGGTACCTAATGGAGAATCACTGTTTTTATTATTTCACAGGAATACATTTTAATAGCTCAAAAATCCTCTTCACTGCCTCCTGAAGCTCTGATCACATCAAACATGCATACTAAAACATGGCAGCCCAGGGAAAGCTAGGTATGGCTGTTAGTTCTGTCTTGAACCTGAGATAGAAACACGCCCACGGAATCGTTCCAGTGCCTTGTATCTCTTTCCCCTTACCTGAATTTCTGGTAGGACTGGGAAAGATACTCATTAATGATGCTTAAGTGAGCATTATCTCCCAGAAACATCTTATTGGAAGCTGCATGTTGGAGCATCTTTGCAATGGAGCCAAGATTTCGGCGCTGGTCTGTGGTAAGCTGGCCTCCTGCCGACAGGTCAATGATGTCAAAGGCATCAGGAGCGACAATGGCTGGATTCATGTATCGATAGTAAAGCAAGTTGCCAATGATCTGGGAATAGATGAAAAAGAAAGGTGAGTGTTAAAAGCCACTCCACCAAGTAAGCTGCAAATGACTCTGCTAGCAAAGAAAACCAGAAAATGCAGTCCTGTGAGGAAAAAATAAACACTATACATACAGACACGCATGCACGCATGCACACAAGCTTTCTCTGAAGGCTTGACCCTAAAATGACCAGACATCCCTTTGTTGGATGCAGAAAAAAAGAAAATGAGAACAGAACTGAAAATCATTACAATGAAAGAACAGATTCAGAAGGTTAAAATGATAAACTTAAAGTCTGTTATTGAGCATTTTAGGGCATCCTTTGTTCACATATCATGGCAGCAAATAAAGCTGCTGTCATCCATGTGTACTTTTCACTTTCATGTAGGTGGGCTTTCATTCTAAGAAACTAGTGAATGTAGTTAAAATAAATATTTAAACATGACCTAATTAGCATGGTATAATCTGTCCAACCCCCATCGTTCTCATGCTGCAGGCTTCAAAGGTAGACAAGTTCATGCCTCTGAAATTAAAAGTCACTCAACACACATCTCTTCCACAGAAGAATTCAAGGACAGTCACAGCATTTCCCCTAGAGTGTCATTCAGAAAAAAATAAAATTAATTCACCTGAACAGAAAGTCTAGAATCGAAGCCTCACTGTAGGAAAGCAGAGAACTAGGAGAGAGAAGAAAAAGGCGTTCAGATTAAAAAAAAAAAGAAAAAAAAAGAAGGAGCATAGCCGAGTAAGAGAGTTACCAGCAACAAACAGCTTTATAGCAGAAGCAATTGTGCTTGCTCCCAGTCGCCTGGCCACCAGCAGAGGGAGCAATTCTCCAGCAAAAAGACAGGACTCAGAAATTTATCTCAAGAGAGGAAAAATCCACCTCTGGTTGTTTGATATCTGTATGCCATTCAAACTCTATAAGAACTAAGAGAGGTGTCATTTACCATTTACAATGACTTTCACAAGCTCACAGTCAAAGGCGAGCTACTGCCAGAATCTATGTTTAGGAACTTATTAAAAGTCCACGGTCAGGCCTAGTTTCCTTACTTTTTCCTCAAAGAGCTACTGGAAGGGCAAGAGTGTGCCAGCGTCCAATTCTCACCTTCAGCAGCTCATCCTCACCAGCATCAGGGAACTTCTCGTGCAGCGAGTCCTTCAGCACTTTGGCAATGAAGCGCATCCCGTAGCTGTGAGACGGACAGAACTCGTGAGAAGGGTCGTGGTGCAGAAGGACTCTAATGCTGGGCTCTTTTTGGGGTCACAACTGATAGCACTCACGGGATTTTGTCCACTGAGCTGATGATGGCGGAGAGGAACTTGTCTGTCACGGCCCGCATGTTCCTGATGGAGTTGTCCAGACGTGTCTTGACCTCTTCATGAGCTAGAGCCTGCTCAGGAGTCACGTCATAGGGCAGTTTGCTGGGAAAGCAGAAATCACCCCCGACTCTGTTAGGCCAACAGCCAGGGACCGCCTGAGGCAGAACTACGTCCTTCATAAACAGAAAGACCCAGAGAGATCAGACAACTTGCTCACTTTCAGGAAGCTGGTCAACGGTGGGGTGAATTAGAACTCAGGTTTTTAACTAGAAATTGCATGCCCTGAATTATGTGCCAGGCACTGATAGGCACTTGGGATCAGAGGTATATGAGACATGACAGCTTCTCAAGTCTCATACTGTCTGATGGGAGAGCCACACATTTAAACAGGTATTTATTTATAAACATAGTGTGCTATAAATAACAAGTTGACAAGTGCTACAGGGCCACAGAGAAGGGTCTTCTACTTGGACTGGAGGAATCAAGAAAGGCTTCAAGAAGGGAGGGACATCTGAACTCAGGAAAAAGAGAGAAGTAGGGTCTTCAAGGAAGGAAGATCAAATGCAAAGGAAGGGAAGGAGGAGAAATAAGGGTGAAAAAGTAAACAAGGGCTGGGTCATGGAGGGCCTTGTAGATAAGGCTATGAAGTCTGGACATCCCTAGAAGCCAGGGAAAACCTTTAAAAGACAGATCCGAATTTTGAGGAAAATTGCTCTAGTCCACCATGAGGAACAAATTAAAAATGGACAGTCACGAATGAAAGAGAGCAGTGCCACAGCAGGATCAAGAAGTGATGAGGGCCTAACAGACAGATCTGACAGCTGTTACATCAACAGGACTCGGTGACCCTCTGGGTATTGGGGGAGGTGACAGTTACATATAGGAACTGAAGCCAGATGAGCTGACAAGATCATTCAAAGAGAGGGCACTGAGTCAGAAGAAAGTGGCAAGAGAATAGCAGACTGCTACAACACGGCCTCAGTTCCATCAGGAAGCGAGGAGGATAGGAGGGAGTGGAAAGTCAAAGGTGAAAGGCAGGGTCAGGTCCTGGTACTTTCAGTGAGGTCAAAAGGTAGTAAGGATTATCTTGGATTATCAATGTGGCCCAAATCCAATTACAATTGTCCTAATAAGAGCAAAGCAGAAAGAGATCTGGTATACACAGAATAGGAGGTAGAGACTGGAGTGATAAGGCCACAGGTCACAGAATGCCACAGCCACCAGAAGCAGGAAGAGGCAAGGAACAATTTTCCACTAGAGCCTCTAAGAGGGAGCACCGCCAGGCTGACACCTTGGTTTTAGTCCACTGATCATGGATTTCTGGTCTCTAAAAACTGTAAGAGAATCAACTTCTGCTGTTTTAAGCCACTAAGTCGGTGGTAATTTGTCACAGGAGCAACAGAAAACTAATAAAAGCAGATAGGGTACAACTCCATTTGTCACATGTAGCTGAATTACAAACACAGATATACTACAAACACAAGAATTAGGCCAAAATCAACAAAAGCATTCTATGAGAAACACCTGGCTCTATGGCATTTACAGTAAAAAGTAGTTTATTTTATTATTTTTAAGTTATGTGCTATACATTTTTTAGATTAGTCAAATTTGTAACTATGTGTATGTGACATTTTTTTAAAGTAGCATATGAGTAAAGGAAATGAAAGTGCTAACTAAACACAACATCTGTAGTCAGAGAACAGAATATTACATTTCTAAGATTTAGAGGTAAACTTGCCCAAGAAGTGATAAGGTCCAGTTGGCTATGTGTTTGGTGGCTGAAGCACAAAGATATGTGAGGCTTACAGGCAGGACGGGTTCCCCTCATATATCACACCTTCTAGTTACTGGTATCGAAAAAGTGTTAAAATTTATTTCCATTTTATGAAAAACAAAATAAGATACCAGTTTCTGATAGGCACCTAGAAGAAAAAATTCCTGAAATGCCTGGTGGAATTTGATCTAAGACTGACTGACTCATGGACCATCAGAGGAAATATGCTGGTACCCTGGAGCCAGTGTCCACAGGGCTGTCATCTAGGGACGCCTGGTCTGCAGACAAAACTTCCCAGTCAGTCAAGTACTGCAGCTGGCTGACCACATTCCGGGATCTGGGCCTTAGGTGTGCAGTTCAAGATAAAAATGGGTATGCCACCACAGCAGCAATGATCGAGTCCTGGTGACAGACTTACACATCACTGAGAATCAAGTAAGAGGCCACAAAATTCCTGACAGGGGATAAGCTCTTTCTAGGAGGACAACGCAGACCAGAACACTCTGTTCTCTACCCGGGGCACACCTTCCCTTTGCCCGATGTCCGGCAGAATGATGCAGAATGATGGACAGCAGCGCCATTCAAAATGTGGACCAGTGCCAGCCTACCAACCAGTCTAAGACAGTATGAGGAGCTTGAGCGAGAATGTAATCAACACACTGCTTCCTTCACTGAGAAAATCTTGCTGTGAAAAAAATGTCAGTTGAACTAAACGGTGTGCTCAAGGGCTGTGGACGATTTTGTTATTGGTCCACAGATCACGCTGAGTAGTGGGCATGGACAGCTACTCTGAGCTTCCCACACGATCTGACTCTACTCCAGAACAAAAAGAAGCAAACCACCACGGACTAAGCTGCTCACACATCCCCCTCAGCCTCCCATGCTCACTCAAGCCGGATAAAACCAGAAACATGCTGGCTCTCTGACCTATATTTTCCCAACATTACCTATGTTGTATTAACACACTTTTGCTTTACATGTGTCAGTGCTGGTGGTTAGACAACGGCCCGGCACAGAAGCCCCCACATAACGTTAATTTAGTGATTCCAACTGTCAGCATCCCAGGGCTGCTTGTCTTTCACCCACATCATCCTCTCTTTCCTTAGTGAGACAATGATCGCACTCAGATCTGTAAGTCTTTCCAGCCAAAGGCATCCTTAGTTATGCCGACCTCCTTTCAGGTCCTAGACTCTCCCAAATTCAGCTCCATCTTCTACTTTAGGTCTGAGCTAAGTGACATTTCATCTCCTCAGAGAGGCTCTCTCTCACCACTACCTAAGGCAGCTACCTCCTATATTCTCCATTACTGTTCCCGACACAAAGCTTCCAAAAACTGTCCTCAATTTGTAATTATGTTTTCATTTTTTATGTTTGTTTGACAACCTGTTTGTTGTCAAACAAACCTAATAAACAGAGAGCAGGGAGCAGGTCTGTTTTATTCATCGTTGTATGTTTCATTTATGATTGTATAACTGTATGTGTATCTAACACAGTGCCTGGCACATACTAAGTACTTGGTAAATATTTGCTAAATAAGTGAACATATTATCACGTCAACAATTTACAGGAGAGGTTTCTAAGGGAAAACTATTAGAATAACTATTAGTTTGTAAATCAAAGGTTAACTGCTTTTAAAAAAGAGAGAAGAATGTGACAAAAAAAGAGGTTGTGGTGACCGTACCTTGCTTCTCCTGTCTGAGACTCCATCTGATTAACCCACGACTTGTAAATGTCCACGGGGTCAGTTTTGATGTTGAGAGACTTGTCATCCATAATCTCCTTCACGACTGGGGCCAGGATCTGTCTCAGGGCATTCTGGCCTCTGGCACCACGGTTGAAACTCACAACCATCTTAATAACTGTAGGATTTCCCGTCACAATCTCCTGAATCTGGTCTACTTTTGACCTATAAAACATCAGATACAAACTCAATTTAAATTAATCACAGAATCTCTGCGCTTAAAGATCCTTCCTACTTAATGATCCCATCTCATGGAAACAGAAATAGTTGGAAGGAAAGAGGTCTCTGCTCTTTCTCTAGAAACACATCCCAACTCTCGTCTGAACATGGCGCCTTTCTGCTGCCACAGACTCAATCGTGGGAGCATCATCAGGTCCTTCATTAGATAAAAATGTGGAATCTTAATGTTTGGATCAGCTTCTTAAAAAATATATTTTAACATAGAAATGTTCCTAAAATTAATTCTTATTCCATCACCTCCCCAGAAGCAGCAACACTTTATATTTATTAGTCATTTAGCAAGTGGATGCTTCTCTCGAGTATTTTACACAAATCACACTGTTAGCTGAGATCAAGAAAAGGTACAGGCAGCCTGACTCTCCAGCCCCAAGCCTCTGAGGCCCGGCCCTCAGAAGCCTTCATACTTGATTTCCTCCTGTAGGGCGGTCTTAAAGAGCCGCAGGAGCAGGTATTCCTCTCGCTGGTTGGATGCATAGTTGTAGAGAGTGAAGATCACAGAGTCCATGAACTTGGTGGACTTGTTCTGGGGCATCTGGAAAATCAGCTTGGCCAGATAGGTGGGGTTGGTCTGAAATAAAACCAACGGGTAAGTAATTTCAAGATAATAAATATAAAGGCTGCCAAAAATATTCAAAGTTAAAAAAAAAAAAAAACAAAAAAAAACTTGAAAGATTAGAATGTATGTAGTAAAGAAATACAGACCATGTAAAGAAAGAAAGAAAATTAAGACAGCCCCCTTTGCTCACCCCTCAGTGAAAATCAGAAATACTTCCACAGAGATCTATGGATAAGGTTTTCTTATGGAAAGTAAATTAGCTAAATTTTACAACACCAATTCCAGGAGCCACTCACCTGCAATAAATAAAACAAGTGTTGATAAGCTTCCAGTTTCTCTCTCTTCTCCTTGCTCAAAGCTTTGAGACCTCCTTTCTGTTTGTTTAGCATCATCATGTCGGACAACTGTTCCTTATTTTTTTTGGTAAGTTTTTTACTGTGGGAAACTACATCCTGTAAACAAAACCAACACATAAATCAAAAAGCTTTCAAAGATGAAACTCCAGGCACTATGGAAAGATCTTTTAGCACCTAAAAATGTGCGCGAAGGTTTATCGCACTGGCAGCCCCCACTAAATGTTAAAATCACTGCTCTGCATCCTGGTTTCAGAATACCAACCAAATGCATTCCTACTCCCAGCTTCCTATAAAGAACCTGAACTGGATAAATGTCCACTGACTCAGGAAACAAACTCAGGAAGCAATCTATCTGAAAAACCAAGTCTTAAATACAATAAAAGCTCATATACGTTGACACATTAACTGCAATGTTATTTGTAATAATAAAAACTTGTCAAATAGTTTAGGGAGAAAAAAAGAGGTAAACCATAATGTATCTTCTAATAAATTATATGCTGCCATTAAAAATAATATTTATGACTGTATACCATATGAAAAGCATCTTATCCTCTAATATTGAGTAAAAACAGCATGCAATATGATTGTGGGGTGGTAGAATTATGGGATAGTTTTTAACTTTTGTCCATTAAAAATGTTGCTATTACAGTATTTCATTTCTTATATAACTTTTTTAAAATTTACAACATAAACTGAGAAGATAGCTAACCTGCACCGTCCCCCGGAGTCCGCAAGGGCGAGGGAGGGAACGGAAGCAGGAAGAAGGGCCCCAAGGCCCCATCTGGCACTGCACCATACCTGCAGTGTGATTTTATTTTTCACTAGCAGCCCGATTTTGATATCCATGAGATTGAGGTCATTCTCCAGCTGTTGGTTGGAACGAATGAGGGTGATGACCTCTTCCCGCATCTTCATAAGATCCAACTCCTCCTGAAAATCTTGGTCACTCTGGTCGAGCAGGTGGACAAATTTCCGGACCACGACCATCGGCGGATCCTCAGCATTGACTGACAGAAGGAAAGCATGTGTCAGACAAAGAACGGAGTTACCGAGAAAAGTTCTAAGTCTCAGGAAATGTTAGCACTGTCTTGAAGAAACAGCTCTATTCACACAGATATTTACTTTTGAGATGCACAAAGACGACCACCAGATGTAGTCTTCGTGGTCATGCTATTGCTATGCTGTGACGAAGGTTAACACGGAAGCAACAAGACGCATGGCCACAGGCTAGGAAAGGGGCTTAAATCACAAGCAGCACTACCCTACCCCACAAGCCTTGCCTGCAGGAAAGAAAAGAGATCCGTGGAGAACACCCAGAACCTGATGGCCTCAACTCCTCTCTGCTGAGCCACAGTTACTCACTGAGAGTCTTGTAGTCATCACGAGCTTTGTTTGCCCGAATAAAAGCCTGGATTTTGATAATGTCGTTTATCTAAGAAACAAAGAAGAAATTCCTTTGGTCATCTGTCCACCAAAAATACAGCAAAGCCGATTCTCCTGGCCCGTGTCACCAAGGGCACTTACGTGGTCTCGGAAATACTGCAGGCGATCTCTATAGCGCTTTCTGGCTTGATGCATCCTCGCCAGGGACTGAATCTATGGGAAAAGAACCGGGGAAATTACAAAAGTCCTTCATCTCAACACATGGCATACTTCCACCCCCCACTGAGACCTTGCCCAAGCCACCATACCTTTACCACCTCGTCTTTATGGGAGTGCAGGTACGCTAAACGGTCTTGATACGCCTTTTTCTGCTTGTATCCTCTCCACTGCGACTGAAACCATCGAATATTACAGTTGACACATTATTTCCCAAGGGTCAGAGAAAGTTAAAAAAATCTCTTGGTATATTATCCAAGCGTAATTCATGACAAATCTTTAAAAAGGACCACGTCCACGAGAGACAGACGGGAGTATGGGCGGGGGCTGCGCCGCCACCAGGAGAGCGCACTGGCTAACTTCCACCTCCCTGCCGCTGGCACAGCACTTCACACCTTTTAAAGTGCCTCTCCACACAGATTCTCTTACTAGCTCCTCACAACAAGTCAGGTGAGAAAGTAAAGATAAATATTAGCATCCTCATTTCCAGATGAAGAAACAAACTAAGACAAATTCAGCACCAACTGGCGGTGGTGGAGCCATAACTGCTAACTCAGAATTCTTCCTGTGATAGTGTGCTACTCTGTCACTGAAGCAAAATCACAGCTGTTTCCCTCAATATTCAAATCTGACACAGAGCATCAGTCCTAGAAGTCAGTGAAGTGCCCAAGGGGAACTGCCACTAGGCTGACAACTCATCACTAAGCAGTATATGAAGCCACTGATAACAATGATAGTAAAAGGGAAGTACTTGTCAAAAGGAGGATGAGACTAAATGGTCAGAAAGAAGAAACACGCTCAGGCATTCGAGCAATCGTAAGAGCTGACTGTGTTAGTCCTGCTCCAGATGACCACCTGCCATCTGTGTAACAGGCTCTGAAATACCTGAATGCAGGTGATGGCAGGGATTTGTTTCTTCAGGAAATTCATCCTGGACCGGAATTCCTGTCGGACTAAGTATCCACGGCAGCAAGCCTGCAGCTTGGTGATCAAGCCTTCATTGGCCAGCCAAAGCTGTTCTCGGTTATATGCAGCAGTCACTCCAGAAATGGAACTCTATAAAAGCACGTGGTCACAGTGGAAGACATAGGTGAGAAGGCACACAAATTTTAACACGGTATCATCTGCAACGCACGAACTAACTCACTGCTTTCTCAGTTTATACTAGATCTTTAGCTGAGCAACGGGCATGACGTCAGTCTATTTTTCCGGCCCATGTTCTCACATCCCAAAAATGTCATATACAAAAACTTGAGCTTCTTTTCCTGATAGGTACCCACTCAACCTACCCAATACTGACTGTGCCAAGAACTGTGCCCGGGTCACTAAGGGATTCAAAATGTGACAGGTGACAACACAGGGCTGGGTACCAAAATCCCAAAGTCCCTAGAATGCCACAATGGAGGAGACTGCAGGGGAATGGAGAGATTGCATTTGAAAGTGCAAGTTACACTCTAATACAGAACAGTTTGGAGTTTGTGAAACAGAAACGTTGAAAATGTAAACTGGGAGAGATGAACAGTAGTCACATTTAATGAGGGATAAGAGCAACTTTCTACTTTTCTGGATCATCCAAATTTTCTTTTATAAGCGCACAATTTATCTGACTTAATTCTACAATCTCGATGTGTTTCTAATTTAGGCCTTAATCATGCCCCCGACCACTAGAGAAAAAATTCCTCTAAAATAGTTCATTATATAGCCTTAATTTTAGTCTAAGGCTTCTGACCACATACCCCGTTCCCCCTAACTAATATTAGCTCTAAAACACTTTCTCTCAGCCTCTTCTTGCATAAAGAAATGTGACTTACCTGGATTTCCTCCCGAGAAAGCTGCATAGAATTTTGCACAAAGCCTGGTGGTTCATCCCATCCTCCTTCCTGGGTCTCCAGATTGTGGTAATAATAATATCCACCTTTCACCCAGTGCTTTGCCCACTTGCTGTTATTATCTCCTGGAAGAAAATAAAGGAAAGAGAAAAGAGATCCAGAGCCACGTCCTCTACATTTGTACATCTGATGCTATAGGATGATTCCGGTCTGGTTTAACAATCTAGCTAAAGACATTCCCAAAGCCTATTCCTTGGACCTGTGAGAGGAAAGGGAATCCTAAGTCCCTCTTAAATTATGGCTTTGTGATGTCTCATTTAGTTCACTCACATCTACATTATAAAGAGGAAATATCTATAAACTCCAATTGTATCGTGAACTTTGACTAGTTTTGTTCCTTCCAAAACGGGCATCTAAGACCTTATGTGTCAGTAAACTGTTTTTTAATAAAAGATCTATAAACCATTCAGCCACTCCAGGCAATTTTAAAAAGGCCATGAAAAGGGATGAAAAATCTTATCTTTATTCCCCTCTTTTTGCAGATAAACTACTTTTATCTAACTATAAGTTTAGATACTGCAGGAGCTACTGATATCCTACAAAAGATGAACAGTCACATATTTTGATCTTTCCCACATTCTCAAAACATTGATCTTTTTAAACATAACTGCCAACAAGGTTGGGGAAAAAAAAGAATATTTTCAAAAACAGGGACTACCTCCTTGGGGTATTTAAAATAAGCTGAAATACTGCGCTTCTGCAGGAAGGTATCTTCCCTGACAGCCTGTCCCTTGTCCTCTCCGTGGATCTCTCTCATATTCAGGTTCCTAACTGCACATATTTATTTCTCTGTAACCTACCTGCTGCCAGTTTTTTCTTCTTAGCTTCGGCCAGGTCACTCTGGTAAGTTTCACCACACTCAGGGATGACTCCGTACAAGCCGACGTCAGGGGAACGCAGGGCACTCAGTGTTTTACCAATGTCACCACTGTCCACGGCCTCATTAATGGCAAAAATTCCTAAGGCAACTATGGAGAAAGAATTATTACCAAAATAATTTAGAAAGTATCTAAATTCACACACTGGCTTACTTAACTATACCTTCTAGAAAACTGTTTCCCCTACATCTCTCCATTTTGGCCAAGCTGAGATATGAATATTGAGAAACAGAGCACCTCGCCACCATTACCCTCCACCGAAATAGAAATAGAAGAGCTAATACGTACACCTCTGTGCTTCTTGGGTGTCTTTGTTGGACTGCCAGACTGCACCCTGAATTTCATCCAACCATAACACAGCTGACTCATCTTGGGTTTCCTACACACCATGAAAAGAGAACCATGGCATCAGGGCACATGTGTTGAAGGGGGTTTCTGAGACGCAATGAGATATAAAGGAAGAAGTTTCAAACACATGAGACACATGAAATAGCCAACTAGAAGAAGCCGGGTATCAAAGAACTGGTGAAAAGTTGCAAGAGAAATGCCTCAGATGAAGTGGCAGATATATGATGACGAATTCAAGTGATTCAGGAGGTCAACGGCAGCTAGAAGGGACAAAAGGATCAAACTGGGAAGGAGCCTAGGGAAATTTAAGAAACTTTCTGTCTAATCATTAGCTGACCATCAGCTAACCAAGCACAGACTTCGGTGGACATACATGACAAAAAAATACGGACTTAACAGAAGTAAAAGTCACCAAACGAACAATGAAAATAACAAACGGGGACAACCACCAACACTGAGGAGAGAGTAGAATCTGATTTCCAGAGCTGCCCTGTTATTTTATTAAAATGTCTTATTTTCAATAAAAAATTATGACATGCAAAGAAATAAGAAAGGATAGTCCAAACAGGAGGAAAAGCAGACAGTAGAAATCGTCCAAACTGAACTCAGTAGACTCATATCAGCTATTTTAAATATATTCAAAGAACTAAAACAAACCATATCCAAAGAACTAAAGAAAAGTATAAGAACAATGTCTCACCAAATAGAAAATTACTGATAAAGAGATAGAAATTAACTTGTTTTAAAAAAAGAATCAAATGAAATTTTAGAGTTGGAAAGTACAATAACTGAAATGAAAAATTCCTAGAAGGACTCAGCAGATTTGAACAAACAGAAGAAAGAATCAGCAAATCTGAAGACAGGTCAACTGACATTATTTACTCGGAGGAACAGTGTCCAGTCAAGGAAGAGTAAGAAAAAAGAATGAAGAAAAATAAACAAAGCCTCAGAGACCTATGGACATTGTCAATGATACCAAAAAATGCATAATGGAATTCCTAGAAGACAAAGAAAAGGAGAAACAGGCAGGAAGAATATGTGAATAGACATATAACAAACACAGAAATGGAATTAGTAATCAAAACATATCCTACAAAAAAAACAAACCCAAAAACGCAGGACGATACAGCTTTACTGGTGAATTCTTTCAAATGTTTAAAGAATTAACATCAATCTTTCACAAACTCTTCTAAAACACAGAAGAGGAAGAAGGCACACTTCTCAATTCATTCCACGAGGTCAATATTACCCTGATACCGAAACCAGACACAAAGGTATCACAAGAAAACTAAAGACAAAATTTAAATTAAGATCTTTGCTTGCTAAATTTGGAATTCTGGTGATTATTTTTAGAACCACTGCCAAGAAGGCTCAGAGGAACTTAGAAGCTAAGCTGAGGCCTAAAAAAAGACAGTTCCAACTAACAGTGCAGTCACCCAGCTGGGCCTGGCAATGTTAAGCAAATTTCCCTCTGAATGCTCCCTTCCTCTGCCTTTGATAAACTCTGAAGTTATTCCACAGCAAAAGGAAATGCTTCAAACTCTGGCCACATCCTCTAAAAGTTTAACTCCCATGACCCAAGCAAAAGGAACAGTCAGGCTCAGAACCCGAGTGAGAGCAGGTACAAGCTACAGCGTCAATCTGCTTTCCTTTTTTGGACATGAAACCCGGCCTAGTTCATTTTCCCAAAGCCCACTCCTCTGTCAGTCCGATGTCAGACTCCTCTGGACTTATATGGCAGCAAAAACAATAACTGCCACTACCGGCCTACAGAGAATCACTGCAGCCAGGGCCCCCGTTTGGAGATTCTGAATCAGCAGAAACAGAGTATAAAACTTAGAAATCTGTATTTTTTAAGTGACTTTCCAAACGTTCTAACGATCAGCCAAGTTTGGGAAGCTCTGATCCAACAGATTCAAAACTGATATCAGAGACAGAAACAGACCTCCACTGATAGCTTCCCTACAGGCAACTGGTTCTCAATCTAAATAAGTGAAATCAGTTAATTCCTTTGTCTCAATTTCCTTGGCTACGAAATAGGAGTTGTGATTCAACACTCACCACAGGGATCAACTGACATTCTGCAGAGTAACGTGCCTCTTAAATGAAACCTGGTACTTGCTACATTTACATGATCACAACACGGTAATATCACCTATCGTCATGGTAGTGGAATCAAAAGAGATCTATCAACATTATAATATTATCTACAACCCCACCTCCCCTAACCCAAACTTATAGAGTCCACATGGGTGTCGGTGTACAAAAGTTCCAACAACACAACAGCCTTGGTCTGCTTTTCTGCCTTTGGCTTCCCTGAAAGAATCTGACCCTCTGAATTAAGAAATTCTTTCAGCTCTTCTGCTATAACAACGTCACTGTACGGATCTTCTAAGTCAGAAGAAAGCTGTGGTCTTCCCTATCCATTTGTTGTTAGTTAGGAAGAACTTAAAAGAAGGTTAATCATGGGGTGGGGTTTAAAAAAAAAAGGTTCATCACAATCAGAAACACAGAGAAATTATGCTTGAATCATGCAACTAACATGTGAGGATCTACTATATACAAGGTAACTTCCTACTCAGCAACAGCACTAAAGAGGCATAAATCTTGTCCATTTCCTCAACAAACTAGCTGAGAGCCTAAATAAACCTTTTAAAAGATAGGTTTGTGTTACAATTACTTAGGAAAACTTTTGTGTTCATAGTAGCATTATTCTCAATAGCCATGAAGTAGAAACAACTCATGTGTCTACCAACTCATGAACAGAATAACATTCTACACAATGAAATATTATTGGACAACAAAAAGAAATGAAGTACTAACACGTGCTATAACTTGGATAAAACAAGCTAAGTGAAAGAAGCCAGTCCCAAAGGACCACATATTGCATGATTCCATGCCCATGAAATGTCCGAAACAGGCAAATCCACACAGTGAAAGCAGACTGATGGCTGCCTGGGGCTGGAGGGACTGAGGGGAACCGAGGAGTGACTACTAACGGGTACCAGGTTTCTTTTGAGGCTGATGAAAACGTTCTAAAATTCACTGTGGTAAAAATAAATTAATTAATTAAATAAAATTCATTGTGGTGATAGTTACACAATTCTGTGAATAGACTAAAAACCATTGAACTGTACACTTTAAAACTGTGAGCTGTATGACATGTGAATTATATCTCAATAAAGCTTAATATATGTGTTCCCTATAACCAACAAGTTCCACTGCTAAATGTCTACATACCAGAAATGCATACATACATTTACCAAAAGACATGTACTAGAATATTCCCAGAAACACTATCTGCAATAACCAAAAAGTGGGAAATGACCAAAACTTCACCAATAATAGAACATATAACCAACCGCACACTGGAATAGTATACAACAGCGACAGTGAGAAACAGTTGCTGTATGCAGCCATGGACGGATTTCACCAATACTACGTTGGGCAGAAGAGACCAGACACAGAAGAGCACATGACGGACAATCTCATGTCAATACAGCTCAAAACAGGCAAAAGTCAACTGTGGTGTCAGAATCAGGATCGTGGTTACCACCAGATGGGGTGGGAGCAAGTGAGGACAGGAGGGTATCTGAGCGGGGTTCTGTTAGTACTTTTAACAATCTTGAGTACCAATTACAGAGGTATGCTCAGTTTTTAAAATTCATACAACTATATACTTATATAACTTATGCATTTTAGAGGATCTCATATTTCAATACAGAATTTACTTAAAGAGATGCAAGAGATGTGTCAACAACCACAACAAAACCACACGTATAAAACAGCAAAGCTCCTGGAAGGCGGCGTCTACGTCCTTCACACCTTGCGTTTCTCCAGAAATCTGAATGTAAGGGTGCCCAAGAAATAGTCACTGAGTAAACAGGGGAGATGTCCCTCCCTTGGTGGTTCTAGGAAGAATGAAGTTCTCCGAACAGAAAGGAACCATTTCAATGCCACTCGCCTGGGCTTTTTCTCTCTTTGCCCGGATCAGTGTGTCCTGGTAATGCTGGGCCACTTCTGCCAGGACGCCCTCAAGTTTAGCTGCAGGAATCTGCAGGGCCTGCAGAGTCTTTTGGGCATCGCCTTCATCCAGGGCTTCGTTAATTAAACCGATGGCTAAAATCCCTAGATATGAAAATAGCAACGGTTATTTTTTTTAATTAAGAAATCCTATAAGCAAATCAATCTTTAAATACGCTAAGTAAATCTGCCCAAGCACTGCCATGATTCAAACTGTAACTTGTCATCCATAGTATTAAGAAGCATTGTTTTTTTTTTAGTTTAGTTTTTTTCACCTAAAAGCCCTTGTGTTCACATTCCTATTGAAAGCAAGAGTCCTTCTGTTTTATTTGTAATTTCTCTAACTTAAAAGTATGAGAATTTTGATGAAACTGGTTTTATAGTATACTTTCCGGGTACATTCTGCTGTGTAATCAAAACCATTCTTGAGTCACAAAAAGTCAGCGATCAAGGGATCTTAAAAAGTCACCTAATTCATTATTTCCAGACAAGAAAAGATGAGGCTTGAGGATCTCTTCTCCAAGATCACACAGCAAACAAGTGGCAGACGGAGGATCCAAGCTCGGGCGCCACCCCCACCCCCACCCCCGCTCCAAGGCAAGGCTCTTTCTACTAAATCAGTTGAATATTTCTCAAAGAAAAAACAAATTAAACTAGAAATGTTCACTCCTCAGGTATCCTAGCCAGCTGTGCTACTTTGTAAGAACTCTTTGTATAACAAACATTGGGTGGCCATTGTCCCTAGTTGCTGGGAAGCAGCCTCTAAACCTTTAGAATGTCTCACGTGATGGGAAGATCTTTGTTATTCATGGTGGGCCCCTAAGACCACACTGAGTTTATGCTAACCAGGTGACTTCCAGTGGGCCCCAACACTGCTTCAGGATGGAGGCTGGGCCTGCTGGAAAGACCAATCATGTGATTAGAAGATGGGAGCTTTGAGCCCTGTGATATAGTGATCTCAGCCCAGCTTCCCATCTCCTGGAGTTGGAAATTAAGTTCAATTACATGGTGATGATTCAATAAATTTTTTGTATGTAATGAAGCCCCCACAAAACTCTAGCTACCCAAAGCTCCCTGGATGAGCTTCCCTGGTCGCGACACACATCCATGTACTGGGAGGGACACATGCTGAGGACACCCTACCAGACATCGCCCTACAGGTCTCTCTTTGTTATAACAGCATTTAAAAATAACATATCATGGTCAACTCCCTGCCTGAAAATCTTAGTTCTTAGTTCTTATGACCTATATACCTAATTATAGCAGTTGCCTGGTGTTTTGAAAAAAATATCCAACCTTAGCTTTTTGAGTTACATGCATACTTCAGTTTTCAAAAATCCTTCCAGGAGTAGTGTTTCCAACCAGTTCATGGAACCACATTATCTCTTGGGGGGACAAGAAGCAGATTACTCACTCTCGTGTTCCTCCTGCACCACCAGATTCACATGGTCCACACAAGCTTGGATGTCATTCCAGGTGATAAATTCGTTATTCTCTGCACGTGCCTGAGCTTTCAGCTTCATTAGCTCATCAAGATACCTGCCCCATTCCCCAAAAAAAGACAACAAAGTACAACATAAGAAAAGGGAACTTCAGGGCTATTGTGGATGACAGGAATGAGAAGACACGGAGCAAAGTACTGAAGAACAAAGACAGGTAAGGTACTCCAAAAGTTAGATATCCTCTAGAGGCCAGCTTTGGGATGAAGGAGTTATCTTAAACAAAATGAAAAGATGTCACTTATTCCCAACAGCCTGTTATATACTCTGAATTTCAGGTAAGACCAGCCCTAGAATCAGATGCGGCAGCAGCCAAAGCCTTTCCTCTAAGGACAAGAAAACGAGGCCAAACATCAGCTAGTAAATGTCGTAGGAGTGACAGATCAATAAATCATCAATCAGCAGCTCTTACTGAAAGTACTGATTTAGGCAAGGATTATCAATTGGGGTTAAAAATATTAGCTAAATGGTTAATTGAGAACTGGACATTTTGATGGTATAAAAGGTGCAAAATGAGATTATGGTCCAGGGATAGAAAAACACAAATATCCGTTGCAGAGATAAGCAGTCTCCCTGATCCAAGGATCAATCACTATCTCCGATGGCAAGACAAGCAGACTTCATAAGCCTCTTGATATGAGAAAATATGAAATACACATCACCAAAAATATTCAACTAAATCTTGACAAGCCTTTAGACCTAATTTCCAATTTACAGGAATAAAACAAGTATTAGGAAGCATCCCAACAAGAAGATAGGATGTTTATAGGACAATTGGTCCCATCTCTTTCGAGGATATTCAAGAAGTATTATTATTTTGTAAAGATATAATAAAGCATTATTTCAGTCATATAACAATGTCATTGTTCTGATAAGCATATTTACATATTTAAAAGAACATCAGATATCTAGTTTACTCTAAACCATTAGCATAACAAAGAATAAAATGAATCAAAATGGAGAAAAAAAGATGATCACACAGAAGTCACAATGTCTGTGAAGAAAACAAGAAAGTTGACACAGCAAAGGCAGGTGACAGGTGTCGGTGGATTCAGTCCACCACTAGAGACACCCACCTCTGACAGTTTTCTTCTTCAATATTGGTAAGGCCTGTAACTGAACTGCTCAGCTGTTTCCACACAGTGTTCATGTCTCCAGACTCCAGTGCCCTGTTGATGAGGGCCACTGACGACAACATCTCCACTGCAACGGAGAGCTCGGGGTGGGTGAGGCTATGCTGGACAGAGGGAGAGGGGAAAAGAGTGAGGAGAGGTATTCTGCGATACCCAGGGAGGTTCCAAGTTTAATCAAGCCAGGAAGAGTCTAAGTTTCTGGTTAAAAAAATTAAGTTCCATCTAACTATACACCAAGAAGTGGGTGTTAAATTCACCCCGACTGCTTTTTGCTCCCAGACAGGACAGGCTCAGCTAGCTTACTTCCGGACTCTGTTGCTGCAGGGTAGCCAGCTCTTTCTGATACAGATCGGCAGCAAACGGATACACCTGGGGCAGCTGGGCTTCGGGATTCATGAGTTCCAGAACAGTCTTCTCCGCCACACCCTTCTGGATGGCAGCATTAATCGCTGCCACGGCTGCCAGCCCTGGGTAGGGGACAGGAGGTCAGAAATGAAGTTTGCTGAGTCAGCCCTGGAGGGCAGGCGATGCCAACTGTCACAGAAGGCAGTTGTATTCTGTGGATGCACTGTTAGCCATGCCATCTGAAGTGGCACTTTCATCTTTAAAAAGCTAAACTGTATGGTATGTGAACTATATCGCAACAAAGCTGTTTTAGAAAGCAGCCTCCTCGTCTCCTTAATCATGTTTTCTTTCTACTCCAATCATCCCGCAGCCGCCACCATCCTCTACCTAAAATAGCTCTTCCTTCCCTGTAGCCCAATAAGTAAAGTGCCACCTTCTTTGGCTGCCATGCAAAGCTTTCCACGATCTTTCTTTGCCTTATAAAACTCAACCCAAAACATCTACACAAACTTTATTCTAACCGCTGTTCCTTCAATACACCTTTCACCTTCTGTCCTGCTCACATTTCCTTCTCCTCCTTTTGCCCATATGGGGAATATCCTTCTCTTTCCTCTTTCATCATCCAGATCTTGCCAATGCCTTACGCCTGGCCCCCTTCAGAAGTTTCCCTAAGCAACCATGGAGTGCTCACTAGGCAAAAGGAGCCCATGCTGACTGTACGTCTGCTGTAGACACCAGAGGGACCCTACTGCTGCCTGCTAGTGGACTATGGCTAGTAGGCCTGGGGTGGGGTGAGGAGCTACGAACTCTAACCTCAGATCCTCAGTGACATGAAGCCAGCCCCTCCCCTCCTCGGCATTTCAAGAGGCCCAGCAGGGGACCCTTACTTCTCTGGTACTGCTGAGCGGCGCTGTTGGCGGCGTCCACTCCAGCCTGTAGCTCCTCCTTCTGCAGGGGATCAGCCTGGCCACTCTGAGGAAAGCAAAGCACATTTATGTCAAGACGACTCCTGCCTCTGCCTCCAGACATTACAGTTCTCCTACCTCAACAGCAGTCACTAGGGACAGAGAGCCATGGGGACAGGCGACAGCTTTAGGCTACATGCAGCCAAAGTGGCAGCCCTAGTGAGAGCCAAAAGCCTCAGCCAAATCTGAGGTATCCAAATGTTCTGGATACCACTACATTTAAAAAAATATTTTGTGAGAAGCATCAAAATGTTTATAGGATCATTAGCACATTAATGCTGCTTACTCTGGCCAATATAGGCTGGGAATTTGCAAAATGTATACTTGCCCTGATTTAGACAAAAAAGAAAGCCCCTCGTATATATTCTTAAAAAAAAAAAAAAAAAAACACCAAGTACAGTCCCACGCAGTGTGTTCTTACTGCACATTAAGTATTTCCCCAGTGTTGGCCAGAGGAAACTAGTGAGGCATGGTTTTTTTAAGTAGAAATTCCTGAAGTAAGAATGTAAAAAAAATTCAGGTTTTCCCCAACGGCTTTTGGTTTGGGGACTATGGGGAAGGCTCCAAGTGAAGGGGTGGTTAGACTGGGAGAGTGGGTGCTGACTATTTTAAAAGAGGATTTATCAGAAAAAGAGAAAAAAAAAGATGATTTATATCTCTAAAAGCAAAAGAAAGCTGAAGATAATGCGTACTTTACTTCAGGATATTTAAAAAACTTAATTTACACACAGGAGAAAAAGTTATACTAGAAAAAAAAGGCCTCATAAGCATCTTTCAAATGACAACAGAATTCAAATGTATGTACATGAGCCCTCGCAGGTTTGACCCGGATCTTCTCACCTGTCTCTTCTGCTGTCTCTCACTTAGCAGCTGCTTGAGGTACCAGTCGCTGTTCTGCTGCTGCAGTCCTCGAAGGCCCAACGCCGGGGACTGCAGAACCCTGAACAAGGCCGGAGCAGCTCCCTGATCCAAAGCCAGGTCTATATTGGCTAATGCAGATAATGCTGAGGAGGAAAAAAGGCAAGCGCTTAAGAAAATACTATATTACATGATAGTAACATAAGCCTACTTAAAGGCTTCGGATGTAGACAACCTGACACCAACATGGACACAATATAAGAGGCACCAATCCAGACCAACGCATACGTAAATTCTCTCTAAAATGCCAAGTTGTTGTCTAAACTACTAAACAGGAGAAAGTATCTCCCACAGAAATTTACTACGTCTCTGGACAATTTTGTTTCAAAAACATCGTCAGAGAGGATAAAGAGGGTAGAAGGGGTCAAATATATGGAGACGGAAGAACAGACTTTGGGTGGTGAGCAAACAATGGGGTGTACAGATGTTGCATTATAAAGCTGTACACCTTACATAATGTTATTAACCAATCGTCATCCCAATAAATTTAATTGAAATATTTTAAAAATTTGTTAAAGCTCCCATCATGGAGTTGAAACTTAAATACAACAATCCCCCTTGCCCTGTGACAGTCTACGTGCCCTCAGCCACTTCCCACATGCATCACTCCAAATCCCTCCGCTACCCTGGCATCTCCCCAATACTCTCTGCCCAGAGCAGTCAGTGCCCAACCCCAAGGGCAGTCTGACCTTGTGGAATGGAAGGGGACCCTCTCGAGAGTCTGTGCTCCTAACACAAAACCTGAGGTTGCACAAGGTCATTCACAGAACACATGACAGTAAAAACCCAGATGTTCGGTCATCTGAAAATGATGCTTTCCTCGGAGTGTTATTAGATAAAATCATATACATGAAAGTATTTTGTATATTGTAAAATAAATATTAGGTTGAAAGTCAGAATAAGGTATTTTCTGATATCGGAAATGATAATTACTGTATTATTTTTAGTTTGCCTAGTTTTAGAAGAGAAAATCATTCTCCCTCCCATGCCCCACCCAGAGATGAACATCTGATGTTACCACCAAAGTAGCAACACAAATCAATAACAAAATACTAAAAATCAAAATGTTTGGGGCATAGCAGCACTTATCAATTTAAATGTTTTCATTAGTAAAAAAGAAAATATAAGGTGTTAGTAAGAAAACAAAACAGTCCAAGGGAAAATGTCTCAAATACACTGGAAAATGGGGTTGGGGGCGGTGAGGAAGAGTAGAACTAATAAATGAAACCAATACTTAACAGGATGAAAGGTTCAAAAATTGCTACGAATTTGTGGTCTCACTACAGACTCCTAAGAGACTGTTCGCTTCTCCCCAATAATCAATTATACCTGCAATTCAGCTAACCGATCACCACACCAAGGCGGTGGCTACCTGAGTTACAGCTGCAGGTCTATGTGGCTGTCAGCAACTCACCATTCATCCCTTCAACATTTACTGAGCACCTGCTACGTGCTGCAAATATAGCTGTGAATAAAACAGACCTCTCTGTCTTCGTGGACTTTGATAGTAATAGAGGACAGAAAATAAACAATCAATACAAGAATCAACCAGGCTTTGTCTAAGTATGCAATATAGAATCTCAGAGTATGTATCTATAAAAGCATCTAGTCAATTATGCTTTTACTAGAAACATAAACTTTCTACTTAAATGTGTAGATATTTAAATGAACACTTACACCATTTATATTATAAAGATGGCAAAGTTTAGAACATTATTTCGACAATTTCTCCCATGAAGCTTTCTTTAATTTACTCTAATTTTCCTTATTCTACCTAACAAAAAATAAAATAAAACCTTTTTCTTATTTTTAACTATTTGGCCTTTGGCTTTCTTCTGGGGCAGTGTTCATTCCTTGCTCTCATGTCCTAGAAAAGAATCTTATCTATAATCACATTCAGATAATTCCTGAGACCTAAAGTTCCTAGATCTTCCTAGCATGCAACTCCCCCTGGCCTTAGACTTTTACTATAATCAGGAAAAGACAGTCCTCTTAGGGGAATTCTGCCTTAACCTCACCTTATCTACCCCAGTGAAGAAGGTTCATACTCCAAGGAAGAGTCATCATTCCCTTCTTTATTCTCAGACTGCACCTCACACACTTTGTTTGAACCAAGCTGCCCTGAAATTATTCATTTGCATGTCTGCCGTCTTCACTATTCTGAAAGCTATTTGAGGGAATTTTTATTATTCTCGTCCTCTGACCACATGAGAAGAATGTGACTGAAACACTTCAATAACATGTACATATGATTCTTTCCTCACATGTTTGTAACTGACTCTCATATTATTAGCCAGGTAAAGCTATAAAGGTGATAAAGTCCCAAACAACATAGCAGAAAAAAGTTCCTTAGTAAAACAAAAAGAGTATTTTGTGCACTGTATGCAGCAGAGCACATACTGGACTTTCTTCTCACAGAGACAGCTAAGTATAAAAGAACACTCCAGCGTATACTGGTGACTTAAGTGTTCATACAGGTACAGCACAAGTCACCCATTCTTGAATGGAACTATTACTCTGTACAGAAAGCCATTATCCTAAATGAAGCAGAATGAAACAGAATACAAAGACTCCTGGTAGAAGTTAGAACTTCTTATCAGTGGGAGTACGTAAAACCTTATACATTCTCTTTAGTTGTTCAGAGTATTAATTCAAGTGAGAAATCAGGACCTCCAAATAAACACAGAGGACACTGATTACTATTACTATTGCTGTTATTATTTTGAGCAAAACAAGATCAAGGTTGAAATCAAATAAGCTTGAGTTCCTGTGATGAGTCAAACCCTATGTTAGGAAGTATGAGGGTTTCAAAAGAAGTAGAACTCAAAAGTAATCTCTACTTTAAGGATTTTACAAAGATGTCAGAAACAAAGATCAAGAAATAAGATGACATAGAATTATTAAACGGTGTGATTTAGTCTACAAACGCTGTAGGAGAATTGAAAGTCAATTATATTTTGAGCTGAAATATGTACTAAAGTGAGAATTGAGCTGGATCTTGAATGATGGGTACGATATGGATGAAATAAGAGACAAGCCATGAGGGCATTATAGTAGAGTGATTATATGATTTTTTAAAAAAAGAAATATTGCTAATGTTTATTAGTGCTTACTAAATAGCAGGCAATTTACACACATTATCTCATTAGCTGCATAATGGTTCTATGCCACAGGTGCCCAGTGTCACACAACAATTAATGAGAGGGCAAGACATCAAATTCCAGGTCTGTCCCACTCCAGATCCACTCTTCATGAGTCATGAAATGAGCAGAGTGAATACAGGAGACAATTAGGCAAATGAGTGTCTACAGAGAGTTGTATGTATAAAATGCTGCGTAAAGACTTTCACTGGGCCAGGGATCTGCAAGTCATAAGGAACCAATGCAGGCTCTTGAGCGAAAGAGTGACAAAATGGAAATGATACTTTCAAGAAATTAATTTCCCAAAAGTCTCTAACACATGTATATAAAAATCAATATGAACAGAACAATCTCATTTTTGTTTAAATATATGTTTTGAAAGGGATACATATAAAAAACATCAATAGTGGTTATTTCTAGATGATGGGAATCTGATTTTTTATTATTTACCTCTGGATGACCAATTACTCTTTAAAAAAAGAAAAAACGAAGCTGTTATATTACTTTAAAAACAGAAAAAACAAATTTCCTATTTAGATTTTTTTTAAGTGTGTAACACAGAGTAAAAGAGTGAAACTGTAGCCAAAAAGATCAGCCCAGAAGCTACAGCAGATGCGCGGATGGAGGGGTGACGGCATGCCTGAGGACAGCGGTAGCTAAAACAGACACCTATGAATGCGAAAGACAGTCATCAGCGATAGCTCCTAAACGAATCCACTAATGTCTAAAATAAATACACTACGTCATCGGTCCAAGAACAGATCAACACTCAAATTATTCTCTTATGTCCGCTTAGCTGCATGGTTCAGGGACATACTTACTATTGACTTTGTTTATATTGCCTTGAATTTCAGCTTGAGTGAGCAGCTCCTCATAAACGTCCCTCTCTCTCTCAGAGTTTTCTGTCTGAAAATTAGTAAAAAGTATAGTTACATTAGCTAAGGTCTCTAGAAGACCACAGAAATACATTTGAGCTCCTCCCCCACCATAATAAAACCAAGAGCAAGTAAGGGTGTGGCTTAAAGCAAAAAGCAGAATGCTCCTGGATTGTGACTGAAACATAAGAAGCAGGTCTGCCTGTCAAGGACAAGCCCTGCAAGAGAAGGAAGCATCAGTGAGCACTGCCCTGCTCACTCCCACTCACTCAGGAGCCTGCAGGCCTGCCTCAGACTAAGCAGAACAGTCATCATATCCAGGGACCAGATCTCAGAGCCTATCTTTAGTTTGCACAAAACTCAGGAACAAAGTAGAAGTCAAAATGGAATCTAATACAAAAAGATTACATTTGTGTGATTCCATTTCAGTTATATGAAATTCCAGAAAAGGTATACCATAGTGAGAAAAAACAGACTAATAGTTGACTGGGATCAGGGGAGGGGGTTGGGGCGAGGGTGGGGCAGAGAGATTGATCTGGGAACTTTTGGGGTGATGGTTATACAACCACATACATTGTCAAAACTTGTCAAACTGTACACTTAAAATGGGTGAATTTTACTGTGTGTAAATTACACCTCGATAAAATGATTTTTTCAATGTAGTCCAATCAATCAATGAAAGAACATAAATCAATTAGAATGAATAGATGTTCCACTTTTACCCTGTTTTTAGCATTTGTCATTTTGTCCTGCTTGGCCTGGTAGAGTATATCCTGGTAGGTGGAAGCCAAGGGCTCTTCAAGATTTACAAGCATGGCATTGGGGTTTTTCAAAGCTGCAAACGTGTCAGCTGGAATTCTACGGTCAACAGCTTCATTAATAGCAATAACGGCGGCATGTACTAAAAAAAAAAATTATCAAAATACAGAACACTGAGATTATACAAAATTAAGGATGTACATTACACATAGAAAACAACACTGCAACCCGCTAAGACAGAGAGATGTTTGTTTTCATAGTGAAATAACGACTGCTGTTGGAGGAGTGGTTCCCTGGGTCCTGGTGAGCCCAGCTCCTTCCTTAGGATGCACAAAGCCACAGCTCTGATCCATATTTGGGATGGTGAATGTGAAATCTCACAGAGATTTGCCATGGAAATGTTCACCCTTAAGCAGCATATAAATACCATAAAAAAAAAAAAAAAAAACCTCAAAGAGGCACTGAAATGTAGGACTCACTAAGTGCCTGCATTATAATCAAAATCAATCACTTATTTCCAATTAACAATAGCATAAAAGAATGTAGCAGTGTTTAACACTAGATCTACTGACCTAAATTTACAAGCGAAATTCCTAATGTCCAAGATCATCATTATTGTTATTAATTATTGAAAGTGGTAGCTATGATCCCATTTGAACACCCAAATTTCCCTCTTCTTACATGCAGCTTCATCCACTGAGAGTTCATTAGCCAGGATGCCCCCGATCTTGCTGAAGGCAGGCATCTGGATCCCATACTTCTCCAGTTCAATCTTCATGTTGTTGATTTCTTCCTCTACAGGAAAGAATTAAGACCAAGTCAAGCAAGTTAAATACCTTTCCATAACTCAGAAAAGGCAACAGATTCTTTGGCTACAAAATGAGATGAAACAGATTCTACCCTCAGACAGTATAGAGAAAGCACTTAAGGCAGTACCTGGTACATAACATGCACTCAATAGACTTTACCTATTAATACTATTATCAAGAGCATCAAAAATAACATAGCATGAGAATGGCCCTACAGAAAATAATTTTTCAAAACTGCTCCTTTCCTACAACCAATTTATAAATGGAGCAGTTTCTAAAGAAGCTCAAAAGAAGTGAATTACAAGTCAGTCAGTTATCTCAGTCTTTATAATCCAAATCTCAAGCTGCCATTAAACAATTTCCTTTCTAAGGCAGGAAGCCAAGTGATAAAGAAAACAACACATAAGATCTGGCCCTTGCCCCGGGAGAGGTGAACAACTTCCCTGGAAGGAAAAATATCTCTGGTAAAAGTGTTTTTACCATTTTGAAATTCCCAGGCCTACAAAATAATCACTAGTTTGAAAGTTGTGAATCTATCTTACCCTTAACCAATATTCTCCCCAAGGCCCCATCTCCTCAAGCATCTGACTACAGCAAATACACGCAGAGTAAGCTAAATAAATTTTTAAATTACCAAGTAAGCTAAATATTAAAAATTACTAAATTGTCATCTTTATAACCTCTCACTCCTCATCACCCTTGTTTTGCCCACAATAGGTGCTCGCTAGAGGGAAAGGGAGACTGTTATAAAGTTGTTTTTTTTCCCACAATACATGTTCGGTGTTAGATGTTAATATATTTTGTTTTATATATTAATATTATTCTCAATTTAGATACAAGAAAACTGAGAATCACTAATCATACCTGTGTCATAACAGAAAACAGAGCCTGAACTTCCAGGTATAGTATTCTTTCCGCCACACCAGAGAAAGCAAGCTATTTATATTTCTTGTGTCTCTGTTGCCAGAGTCTTGTTAAAGCCCTGTGTCTTTAAGACTGGTACTGTTGCCTCTGCAGGCTATTTCCACATAAACTGAGTATTTTCTGCCAAGTCTGTTAACTCTTTACCTGTGAAGTCAACCTTTCCATACAGGTCTTGAATCTGAGGAGCCAGGCCTAGTTTGAATAGGTATAAGCTAGAAGACAACAAATAAGCAAAAGAGTTCGTTAGGCCTCCCAGCTGTACCTACCTGCAGCTCTTAGATTAAAAAGGAAAATCAGCATAAAAAATAGAAACATTCTAAACACTGACTCCCAGTATTCCACAATTCTCCTTTGCAGTTATAATACTTTCTACCCCATAGCCTTTTTTGAAAATTTTACATAACAATATTGTTCTAAAAAGTCACAAAATGTAATGTAAAAAACACTGGAGTGGGAGTCAGTAAACATAAGTTCAAGTCCCAGGTCTAGTACAAAGCCAGTACGTGATTAGATGTTAATAAAATGTTAATGTAATTAACATGTGAAGAATCTTCACTTCTGTTTACCTTCTTGTGATCGATGTTTAAAGTAACAAGATATTTTAGAAAAGTCTCATGAAAATGATTTGAATGGAAAATCTTATTTAAACTGAATTCATGTTACTGACCAAAAAAGTTTAATTCAGGTAGTTTAGGAGTTTTAAGTAGAGTACGCAGTACACATTACTCTTTATGTTTGGCAGTATTTGTTTATTTACTTATTTATTTATCATTTGGCATTCAATATTATTTTATATTAGTTTCAAGTATACAGCATAGTGGTTAGACATTTATATAATTTAGGAAGTGATCCCCCCAATTAGACTAGTACCCACCAGGCACTTTACAGTTATTACAATATTATTGCCTATATTCCCTATGCTGTACTTTACAAACTGTGACTATTTTGTATCTACCAATTTGTTTTTAATCCCTTCACTTTTTTCACCCACCTCCCCAAACCCCCCATACTTTACTCTTTGAATAAAAAAAGAAATCTACTAGACTCTAAACTTCATGAAGGCAGGGACAATAAGTCGTATTCACCAATGTCTACTCAGAGTCTAGCATATATTAATATTAATCAGTATTTCAAAGATGGATAGATGAATAAATAAATGTCTAAGCCCAAGTTAGGTTAAATGGATTCTAAGATCCTAGCAAATCAGAATCAATAAATTAGAAGAGATCAGAAGGGTAAGACATTGACAGCCTAGCAATAAGGGAGGAAATAAAAAATATCTGAGAAATGAAGCATAGAAGCTCAATTAGGGGGTCTACAGTTCTTGCAAATAATCTATAAACCTAAGCATTATCTAAATACAAGTATGAACCACGCATATTACATGCACAGACATGATCAGAACTTAAATTGTATATAATAAACCCAAATGTATAATCTAAAAAAAAAAAATCAAGTGTTCTGAACACATATTCAAATTTACACACCCACAGTAGCTAACCATTTTCTCAGATAAGTACAAGTATAAATCATGTTACGATTAAGTGCTTTTCTTAAGAATAAAATGCTCAAGATGGAACTATAGGAAGTTCCTCTCTCAGAATATTTTGAATCTATTCAATAAACTTTCCAAAGCAAAAGAGCTAATAACTTCCTATACATGTGAAATGTTCCCTTCTTTATTTCTCCCACATAGCATGTTCCACCTGCATTCTAAATTAGTAAGAATATTCTTCTCCAGGAATTTCTTCCTCTTTTATTCCTACTTTGAAATAGGAAAGTGGCTGCCACACTTTAAGAAAGTCCAAGAATGTCTTTTCCACAGCCCTAAGAAGAGCGAGTTAGCTTTTAATGCCCTGCAGTGGTAAAGTGAAGGTGTTACAGCAGCACCAGCTGCTAGAGGAAAAGCAGAGAAGGGAAGACATGGGCACCATCCTTCTTTTATCGCATTTTAATTATTAGGAATATTTTAAAGAGATGCTGGAGCTAGGAATGTAACTGTAACGGCCACGAAGATCCTCTTGCCCAAAATCCGAAGTACTTAACCTCTCAAAGCTGGAACTTAAAATTTCTAGCATAAACATCACTTTGCAATCTTTGTTGCGCTCTCCAGTGCCTACTTTTACAAATAAGCTGTTAGATATCTACAGCAGAAAACTGAGCTCAGATTTCTTTTCTCTTTTCTTTTTTCCTATTTAAGCTATACTTTATAGCAATGGAGAGAAAGAAGCTATGTTAGCCTATCTGGATTCCAATTATCTCTGCTGACTGCAAAGTAACTTAGAAGTCACTATGCTAATCTCAAGGATTATTAATAAAGGCTCTTAAACACAAACACAGCTGTTGATGAGGAAACAGACTCTAGAACAGGTCCGTGATCTCATATCTAAATTCTTTGGGTCAGATATGAATTTAAGATTTCTCAGATACTAGAAAGGTTTTCCAGTGTATATAGTACTATTATAAAACACTCTCAGCAAACCTTGAGGCAGCCCCCCTAAACAAATACATTACTTTTCTGCAGAGAAACATATGTATAATCATACCGAGTAGATAAATATTCTAAATAACTTCAATTAATTCTGCTTTTTTTTTTTTGCCAACGGAAGAGTTTGAACCAAACTGAAACTTAATTTTCAGAGCTCTCAGGTTTCTTTTGAATTTAGGATAAAGAAATCATGGGTCTACTTAATCCCAAAATTAGTTCTGAGAAAGATGTCATCAGGGGAAATTGAAATAAAGCATACAAATGTATTTGAAATAATGGAGAATTGGGGTCTTATCTGAGACTGGAATTACAAGAGTAATTTAGCATGACTAAAGTATAGTGACTATCTCTGGAATAACGCCAGTCAAGACTTAAAGGCTGGGGGTGGGAGGACAGCAGAAAGGAAGAAAAGAGAGATAATGCTTTCGATCCAAAAGGGAAACGGTAACTCATCCAGTACAGTGAAATAAGGAACCTGCCTTGAACAAGGCTGTGTTTTATGGTAAAGAAGAGGCTCCAAACAGGTATAAACACTTTCTACGTATTATCAAGTGTTGACAACCCACCCTTCAGGAAAAACGCTTATAAGGGAGGAAAGAACTCATAAATCACCAACCAGAACACACTGCTCTGTACATACTTTCTAAGCACAGACTGCATATTGGAGAGAAACAGACAATAGCAGACTCCCTCACTTTCTCATTCTGACTCCATCATTAGAAAGACACGGTTAATTCTTCATCTCCATTTCAGAGAATCTGAGGACCTGGGAGCCAGGTGACACTGCAGAGAGCAGCGGCTACAGAGCGCACAGAAGGTAATTCCGCCAGCTCAGCATGTGCCTGCCAAGCTCAGATGCCCATTGTAGGTACGGCCTTCACAGGGTTACCAATATAGACAGACCTCACATAACGTGAATTTAATCAGAATTAATCTGATTTTGGATCAGATATATACATATGAAATTGCTATGATCTGAAAATCCCCCTAGATATCACCCATTCCCAAACATTTATAAGACTCCTCATGTTACCATTGTTTGTCCAACATTATTCTATGTACCCTGGAGGGGAAAAAAAATGTAAGGCATGACCTCTGTCCATAAAATGCTAATAATGTAACAGGGAGAAAGGATTAAACATATGGAAGAAACAATATGTAACTAAGACAAACAAACAAACAAACAAAAACCCACAGGAGTTTAGACAAAGGAATAAGCCAGCATCATTGGAGATCACAAAACTTCATTAAGACAGTAGGAATGATCTAAGACTGGACAAACATGAAGTCATCCAATAAAGAGAAAGTACTGTTTCCCTTTTACATTTATTTATAGGGCAGAAAATATCCCTGTGAGCTGGAGGAGAGGAAGGAAGATTTGTTATAATGTGTGATTCTGACCTGCTGTATGCTAAGTATCTAAGTACTAGAGACACAAAGATAAAGAAAAAATAAAGGAATTAGTTCTTGCCCCCAAGGAGTCTACAAAAAGCAAGCTGTAAGAGCAAATATCCAGAGTACAATGTAACGAGCACTATACCTGAAGTAAGAGTTGTGTACAAAATGCTAGAGGAGCACAAAGTCGGGAAGCAGCTTATTCTGCTTGAAAGGGATAAAGTGAAAAAAGAAAAAAGAAAAAAGTATCAATGACGGGGTAGTAGAATTTGGAGGTGGCACTTGGCGAAGAGCACGGGTTAAACTAGAGAGAAAGGGCACTCGGGCAGAGGAAACGGCATGACCAGAGGCCAAGGGCACAAGCCAGGCATGTGTGGTGAAAATGCTAGAGCACAGGCTCAGAGGAGGGAATGGCGGCAGGTGAGATCGGAAAGAAGCCATCAAAATATTTTATGAAGGGTCTGATATGATCAGGGCTGTTTGGGAAAGATAGCTCTGGTGACAGCACGGCAGACTGGCAGATGGACCAAAAGAGAGAAAGCCTGGGAAGGGAAATTTCTAGAAAGGAAGTTAACGCATTGGTCCACACTAGAGATCCACTAGTCCTCAGCTATATTATTTCTTTCATGGGTTTCACACTATTGCAGTGATATCAAGGATCTGGCACATGTTTGATCAAACTAGAGACAATAGGCTTCTTATGGGTCAATATTATATATTCATACAGATATAAAACTAATATTTATTAAGCACATATACAGGATGCTATATAAAATGAGCAGCCCAAGCAAGAAATCTCATACTCACGTCCCACTCATTCCAACCACCTTCTCCTTCAGTCATATGGCCATCAAGTATATTTGGACCACTTAGAAATACCACATTATGAGCACTTAGTCCCATCCCAACCCGCCCTTTCCTCCACACATATCACCGCTTTCCTCCTCAAAGCCAAGAACCTGAAATTAAATCATCTCCAAAATTTACTACGAAATTGTGAAAAAGTATACTTTGTTTCAGTTCCTATTTATCATATTTGTGTTGGCATAAAAATTATTTAATGGATAAAAGGCTTGATGAGGACCTAGGTAACTAAATCAACCATTTGATAGTTGTTGATATTATTTGAAGATGTTGACAAAATTTGATTGTACTACTCAAGAGTATAAAGACATAGTCTACTTTGTAATTCAGTGTATCAGCTTGAAACAAAATGGTAAATAAAAGTATTCAAATGTATATACTTTTTATAATTTTTAAGAGATTCTAATTAAAAAGAAAGAGCTGTATCCCAAGTGAAATGCAATTCACAGAAACACTAGATCAATAAGGAAATATTATACTATGTTTTCAGAGCAGAATTATCTGCTATTATGGGAATAAACAAATCCCTTCTCCCTACTCCCTAGAAAAACACAGCTGTTTCTCACCATTTTGTTAGGATAACAGTACCCTATTCTATTTGAAAATTCTGAAGCTAATGCAAAAACCTTGTCATTATACCACGGATAAAAAGCTACACACTCAGATGTTATTCCTAAACTGCTTTTTTAAATTGAGATATAATTGACATATGACATTATTAGTTTCAGGGGTAGAACATGATTCTATATACATACATATATTATATATATGTATATTATGTATATATTGTGAAATCATTACCACAATAAGCCTAGTTAACATCTATCACCACAGTTACAAATTTTTTTTTCTTATGAGAACTTTAAAGATTTTGTCTCTTAGCAACTTTCAAATATACAATATAGTATTATTAACTAGTCTCCATGCTGTAAATTATATCTCCAGGACTTACCGCCCATCTGTTCTCTTATCTGTGTACAATGCTTATTTTACCAACAAAACCTGATTACCTGAGTGCATGGATACAGTAGATACATCTTGGCATGTTCTTTCGATCATAGATATCTGTAGTTTCTGGATAAAAAATCTAAAGAGAAATAAAAGAAGTAGAGGTAAGATATCCAGAATCATCTTTTTGGTGATTTTTCAAACTCTACATGCTCACTTCCCAAGATTGAGACGTCCTCTCCTAAAAGGTGAAAATCAGTTCCAGTGAGCCGCCCTTCCTGAAAACAGTACAGAACACATTTTAGAAAGTAAAAGAAAAAATAAGGTTGGGTAGATAGGATGGAATCAGTTATGAGGATCTTAAAAGTGTGAACTAGATATGCAGGCCACAGAGAAGTCCTAGCTTTGGAGCCAAGGATAGAAACAGCCTTGGGAAGATATGACTGGAGATAGGACACAGGATATACTGAATAGCGGAGAGACGGGAGCTAAGAAGGCAAGCTGGCAGGCTGTTCCAACAGGTAAAAGAGACACTTCAAATCAACCAGGAAGCTTGGGGAATAACTGCGTTTAGGAGGCCAAGGTAACGCCAAGGTTTTGAGACTGGATGACTGGGGAAATGATGACAGGGTTCCATATATTATGGGACGGGAGGCGGGGTTCACTTGAGGAAAGAAGGTAGGTTTAGTTTTAGATACGGGAAATTCTAGGAGATAGAAAGCTATCCAAGGAGAAATGTCCAGCAGCTGACTGTTTTTTTCTTGTAGCAAAGAGTCTGCAAAGTAACTGAAACCAGGAGAATGAGAGTATGTAGATAAAATAAGAATTGCATCTTAAGGAATGTCCACTAGGACACGGAAGGTAGAACAGCTGAAGAAAAGAGAGGACAGGTTGGGCAGATTAAAAACAATTTTTAAAAAAATCAAACTCAAAATAAAATATTTAGCAAAGGAGGTAGGCAACAGTACCAATTATAATAGAGTCAAAAAGGACAAGAAGCAAAAAGTTATCACAATAAGTTTCTATAATTAACCAATAGGTACTATATAAAAAAATTACGGAAAACTATATGTGTATCGTCGATTATATATCATACATTACATTACGGACAACAATACGTTTTTAGGCTTAGTATCTTTACTCTATATTATGCAAAAGTCTTCTGGACCTAAATTAGGTAGGGTGGACATTTCAAAACCGGTAACTACGATAACCCTGTTGTCCCTGAAAGCCTTTGGAGAATTGTTTATTGCAACTGTGGTCCAGGACAATGCGCTACTGTTAATCAACGAAAAGTAATAAAATTGAGTCACTGAAAACGCATTTTACAACAATACTACTAGCAATAGCAAATATTAACAAAGCTCTTTTTGTACCATTCAAAAACAGTTAAATCGTCTCTGCCCATTGGGCATACTACACTAAAAAACAGGAACAGGAAGTTACAGGTGCATAGGAAGGCCAAGTGGCTGTCCGAACTTGACGTATTGCATTTCCTGACATTTACAGGACCTAACATACCAGTGCAAGGAAGAGAACTTCAGCACTTTGCTCTGGGGAAAAAAAAAAAAAAGAGGACAAAAGCTAGCCTT